GATAAAGCCATCAAATATCTACTGTGAAAAATATTTATTTACAAAAAGTCGAAACAGCAATGAATGCATGAGAAGAAAACAATTTTAATGATTCCAGAAAAAGTTTCTCAGAAATGAACCCCCCCCAAAACAATATTTCTCTTTTAAATGATAATCAATTTGATCAAGATAGATTTTTTTTTTCAGTATTTATGTTTATCTATGCCATTTAAAAAATGAAGAGAAATGTATAAAAATGAGAGAGTTGCAATTAAAACGTTTCTTTTTTTTATTATTTAAAAGAATAATTTTTTGTCTGCTGATTCAAGTCAATTAAATAATAGTTTAGATGTGTATACATCCTATCAGTCAATGAAGGAACTCATAAAATGAAATGAATTTTAAGCAAACTATAAGGAAGGAATGCGTGTTAATTGGAGATGTATATATAAATTTATATATTCAAATTTCAGAATAAACGGAAATCTAAAGTATTGACTGTATGGAATGGAAAACATTTCAGAAGCCAGTTAGCTAATCATCAATAGAGAATTCAATGTAACATACATTTACACGCATAAGACCTCAACCTTTGCCTGGAGTATATTTCTTGTCTCATGTATACATACAAGTAACCATTTAAAGGTATCCAGCACGTTTCCTATTGTATGGAAATATATAATCAATATATATTTAAATATGGTTGAATAAAATACTGCTTAACAAGAATTAAAATGATACAATTAAAACTTTATTAGTGATTTTTATCGATTACGGCTATCAAGTCGTTGAATATATTGAATTCTATATATATGAAAATTAACTAAAAAGATTCATATCACTGACAACATTATAACGCTTTATTTGCAGCAAATTGATTGAGCTAATAGCATAGATGATGGAAATTTTAAAAAAATATGTAGCGTTTCCACAATTTAAATTTACAGCTGATATGATTTTCATTGCAAGTTTTATCGATTAAAAGTGATTTTAGCTTAACGTTAACTATTATATGTACAATAAGAACACTTGAATGATAGTTAAATTTACAAAAACATCATTAGCCAGCTTAGTAGCCATTAAATTAATGTCACTTGTAATAACATAAATGAAATAAACGTTTAAAACAGTTTTTCTTTGCTAAATTGAAATGTACCAATTTAAGCATGATATCTGTGATGGGATATAAATGTGACAGTCGTTGAACTATTTTAGAAAGCATGATCAAATAAAAGATTACAAAGGATTTTCATTTGTGTAGACATATTTCTTTTTATCAATCATGAGTTTAAACAGCCAATATTTACACTTTTCATCAGGTCATACTAATGTATTGAGCATTTTTTTTTCATACACAGCGTGTATATATAAAGACTACGAAAAAATAGATGGTATTTTTTTACTTAAGCTTACATGGTTGGCTTTAATTGAACCACAGTACAGTATATAGCACAGCAAGGTTGTAAATATATTTACCTTACATGCATATTTATTTCAAGTATCTTATAGATTATTAATCTTATTTTAGGCTGATGATGATAAATATTCATTCATCATTGCCATATAGAATTTCGTTCAACTCTTTCTTTCTTTCAACTAATTATATGCTTAGGTCTTTTTTTTATTATTGTTTCTAAATTAGTATAGTCTTATTTCAATTAAACAAGTTTTTATTAATTTATTCTTACTTGTTATCAACGTGTACTCATTACATTACGTAACCATTAGCTTTTAGCTTCTCTAGACTTTTGGTTATTACCGTAATCATGTCTGGAAAGTAGTAGTACCCAACTGCGTCACATGACCAAGCTCTCACTTGGAATCCTCAAGGCCAACAAAAAAAGAGGAAGGTCAAGGAACACACACATTACACCGAGAAATTGGTGGAGACAGACATCAGAAGAATGAACAACATCAATTAGACAAAACAACTAGAAAGGAAGGCTCAAGACAGAATAGGCTGGAGAATTGCTTGTCAGCGGCCTATGCTCCGTTCTGGGGTAACAGGCGAAAGCAAGCAAGTACTACTGGGTTGAGGACGTTAGATACCCAGAACTCACTTGATAAAGGTCCTAATTTTGGATTTTATGTTTTCAAGCATAGGTTGATCAGTCGACCTTGAGACTTAAACAAGCCTCTGAAGAACAAACGCAGAAAAGAAATAAAAAATTGTACATTAATTTGAATAGATAACTGATATTTTAATGAACTAAAATTATCTTGAATTTATTCAGTAAATCTACTTTTTTTTATTTTTATGCTTAGCATTAAAGGTTTATTTTATAAAAATGACAACAATAGTTTTAATATTAAATGTGCAAACTTTATACCGATGATGATAATACTACTTTAATAGATTGTTTTTTTGCGATAAGTTAGGAATTCATATTTATCTGTTCACACAATGAAGACATGAATAATGGAAATTAGTACAATAAAAACAGTGATTATTTATTTGCATCCATTTATGGTATGATTGCCTTTATATTAGAATAGTAAGAAATGATAGAATCATTAAGTGAATAAAAACACATGGTGAGATTTGTTTACAGATAAAGAAAAAAAATTAAAACTTTAGAACAATGGATTAGGATAAAGTTATGAAAAGTTAACAACAATATCATGATTTTGATAAAAAAAGCTTTTACTAAGCAAACGCAAAATTTAGTAAAAGTCTTAAATGTTAAACATAGTTATGACTGAAGTAACCACGTCCTAGTTGTGAATAAAGTACCGTGCAATTAACTATTGCCGACTACAAATCAGAACTCGTGAAAGAAAAATAATGCGGAGATCAATTTTATGCAGCAGTTACAAGTTTTCATAACAAAAACAATAAAGTCTGTTGGGTAACAATGATAGGTACTAATTTTAAATAACAGAAGTAAATATAAAGATCGTCTGTGTTCTTCTTAAGTATTTTCTAATTTACCATGAACTACAATCATAGATTGCAGACATAAAATATAGCACTAGCTGTCACCAGAGCCACAAATATACAAAGATGTTAGCGACAAAGATAGAATACTGGCACAATCGAACGATTTAAATCTTGTCAAATCTTCAGCTGCATGGACAAATAGTTTTTATGGAATCATCATCTTACTTGAATGGAACTACCTTTATTCGAGTTGAAGTCATTTATCAAAAAAATAATCACATTCATTAATCAAGACTCTGAGTTGATTTTCGTGAGACCGAAAAGAAATTTTTTTACAATATGTGAATTAAAAGCTTTAGTCAAGAAGAGTTAATGGTGTAAATAAACCTTCGTTTGAAACCATTTACACAACAAAAAGACTTGGCGTTGTTCACTATGCGGTCACTTGCCTATATATCAATCTGAAATTTAACTAAGTGACAACTACTTAAGAAAACTAGCTATTTTTAAGAAATATATCTTCATACAGGCAAAAAATGAAAGGCAAATAACAATGGTTCATTTATTACATCATTATATTTCTACTCAATTAACTAATAATACTAAATTATTCATGAATATTTCATTTAAACTGAACATAACTTTAAAATATACATTAGTGAGGTGTGTATTACCACAGTAGTATGTCCTTCCTAATGTTTCTAGTTTTTTTTAAATGTCATTTTCAAAAGCATATACTCATATAATATCAACTGTCAAAACTTTGTAAATACACATACTTGTGAAAAATTGTATCAGTTATTTGGATAAATCCATTGGAAATTTATTCAAATTGTCATTTTTATATTCAGAAAAAAAAGTGAATGTTTATCACATTGGTACTGAAAAAAAATAAAACCATTTATTAATCTTTACTCAGATGTCATTTCTGTTTGTTTGTTTGTAAAAACGTCAAGTTACTGGCAGATAACAGTTTACTTACAACACTACTGACGCCATAGTATATTCATGGAATAATTCTTTTCGTGGCATTATCTATTCACTAAACTAATGATAATTTTATTAATCTGACGTAAAATTTGAAATTGTTATCGTAAAAAGTTTTACGAATACTGAACTATTCGAATAAATATTATTACGTTTGTAGAATAGAGTTTTTGTAAATTACTTACTTTTTGCGATATTGTTACTTCCAACAATTTACACTATGATAACGTGGTCTATAGGAAAGTATCTAAAAACAAATCGGATGGAATAGAATGTCGAACTTCTCGATAAATATTGTACAGATTGAATAAAGTTCTGAAAACCCTGAATCCGAACACTGAAATGCAAATAATTTATTTGTATTGGTTATTTATATCTTTCCAATGATATTTAATATTTCAATAATTTAGTCATTTTTAACATGTATGCATCATGTGTGGATAACCTTGATACTAACGTTAGGTTCTAAGAATTGCGAAGCACAGATGAATAGTGGAATCTAGGATGCAACTTCAGTCTAATATATCAAATGGATGATTTAAACAACCAGTCTAAAAGAAATAGAAACCCTACTTCACTGCACAAGCCAGTGGACTCAATAATTAAGTGGATAAAGTGATAGCTTTTGAAGTAAATGTTATTGACTTTAAGTTTTGAACTGAACATCACTCTAATGCAGATACATCCAACCGATAGGCCATAAATAAAACGCGATGCGCATCCTGGATTCTAATGATAGTCACCATTGTTGACCTTTGTTTCAAACTGGTAATAATGCATAAAACCTAGCTAACACTGGATGCTTCCACTACATCTTTCTTATGTTCCAGCTGTTCCAAAAGACTAGACACTCAAATAATTTGTTCAGTTCAGTGAATTGGATCAGTTTGTATATTTGAATAAACCATAAAAAATAAATGTATACATTTTTTTTAATAATTTTCTTTAAAGACACAGATCCACAAAAAAAAACAATCAGAAATGTTTGTAAAAAAATGAACTGATTGTAGTTCATTGAATCTTTGTTTACTGTTAATAAATGTTCATGTGATATATTCAATTCTATACTAACCGCCCTTCAACCTATGTTGATAAGCATATTTTTTTTCTAAATTACAGAAAGCATCAACTTGTTTGAAAAGAAGCAGACATCATGTATATTAAATGGTCTATACAAAAAACACATATTCCAATGAAAAAGAATAAATCAATGCTAGAAGATATTCAGTCACATTTTTATATAATCATACGCAGATTTCGTATACAAACATGTTATATCCTACTGATATGTTGTTGTTGTATTTTACTATGGATATATGAAAGACAATTATTTTTATCGTATACATGCCAAATGAACTTGTTTCAACTATCTTCAGTATGTTCAACATTAAAAATTAATGAACACAAGCTGGATTATTCAACTTATGTTGTAGATTCACAAGAAACACGATTTCATGTAATAAAAAAAATGGTTTAAAGTAATATAGTTAGTTAAATGAATCATAGTAGTTGATTTTAATTTATGCAACTGAGGTTTGATATGATTTATTTTTTAATTTTTTCTAGTTATTAAGAAATGTTTTTGCTGATTTTGATTTCCTTGATTTATTACGTTCAGAAATCTATCTCTGATACAAATGGTGTATGACTTAGCAGTTAAAGATATTTGATATTTAACTATTAATGGGAACCATGAAATGTGTTTTGTCTCAATTGAAACTCGTCATCCGAATGTTTCTTCATCTTAATATTAGTGTTAACACCAAGACTTGTGCCCAGAAACTTTGACTTCAAACCCCAATGGGTTATATCAGCTTAACTATTGACTAGAACAGAGGTTGGCTTTTTCAACAACTATGAAAATATTAGTATAGGTCTATAATTTGAAGATACCTAAAAAAGTTAAACAATTTATAGATTAAAATGAATGAAAAAATTTCCGAATGTCTGTGTGCACTGATAAAAAATGGCAGAGTGATGACTTCTTATTCGATTTTCACACTAATTTAAGTATCAAGTTAATTTGTAAACAATTTTCAATTTGTCATTTGATAAGCTATAACTTTTAGAACTAATTATAATTGAACGTTAATTCATCTAAAGTATAAGAGAATATAATCACGGGGCATTGATCAAAAGATAATTTCAATATCTATCCATCTTTTAGTTTTAAACATTTTGTTAGGGTTTATTTTGAAAAGTAGTGTAAATAGTTACGTTGAACTAGCTTTTGTGAAAGTGTAGACATTGACATAGCTCTCTACTGTCTTGAAAAAAGATGATTCTGCAGTCATCAAATGATATCAGGTTCATGTGAGATTCACTCCTAGCTAATGCGAATTCTCAGTTTAGGAAATTTTCCCGAATGCAATTTATTGAACTTGTAAATGTATCTTAATAGCTTATCAATTATACTAATGATCACATTCCAGCACTGTTGATAGAAGTCGATCAAAGTATTGTTTAACACTATGATATTGGTTACTGTTAACTGAGAAGTTTGTGTATTTAAATAACAATGTGTTTGCTTGAATAAAAACAAAGTATAAAACATCCTATAGTTCGTTTACAAATATCCAACTTTGTTTATATTCCTCTTTAGATAAGTTATTTTATTTTTAATGTAAACCCGACTGAAATAAAAAAGAAAACTACTTTATGGTTAATTGTATTGAAAAATTTGACACTATTGTTTTTGTTCACGATTATATCAAATGAAAACATCCAGTTCTACACAAATATTATCATAACTAGTCTCTTTTTTTTCAGCAAATCCTTTCACACCACAGTAATGATCAACTTATTCGGTTAAATAAATTTGTCAAAAAAAATCATTTATTTTGGTTTATTTTTTTTACATAGTCGACACATCAAGTAATTTGAACATAGAATGCATACACACCTAAAATCAAAGTAAATAAGTCGACATTTCTGACAAATATAAATGATCAGACGAAGTTCAAATATGCATAGTGTAGTTGACAGTGATAAAAACAAACTAAAAATGTGTAAATCTATGCAGTTATTTTTTTTAACAGACAAAGGGTAGGGAAGTTTTGTTATTGTAATGTTTCATCGGATTGTTCACAATATACAACACCGATTCATGAATGCTAGAATAATATTTTTTAAACTTTCCTAGGTATGGTTTTATCAAAAAATTGTATACAATCTGCAAAAATAAAAATTTTTAGTCATTTTAATAAAAGTTTATAAATTTAAACAATTTTTTTATAGTATAATACAAGATAGTTTAGTCAGGAAACAGTTAAGCTTTAACAATAACTTGATATCTACTTTATAAATGTAGTTAACGCTAACAATACAACATTGTTTATTTCGTTTGGATTTTACCAAAACCAAAAAAAAATAGTCTTGCTGACTTCAAGTGACAGAAATTATTTCAAACTACAATAGGTATAATTCGTGCTGTACATTAGTTTTGGTTTTTATTATTCTGGCATCACTGAGTAGCATCCATGAAAGCTTTACCGTTGATGATATTATATTCTCCCTGACTTTCTAAAACTGATCCGAGTACAAACGAGGATATTTACTGCTAACTTTCTTGTTCTTATGAACTTACGAATTTGTTTTTTATTGAAATCATTATTCTATCGAAGTAAGACCACCATTCAGTCGGTCGGGTACAACGTAGAACTTCGTACGTAAGTACATCGGTTCAGGTTGTCATACCACGTTAGCACAGAGAAGCAGTTGTCAGTTCAAATCCCATGGTGGTAGAGATTGTAGAAGAATTACTGCTAATGGAGAAGATTAAGATTTGAAGATATTATTCGAGAAGTATGATTCAGTGAGATAAGTTTAGAAAGACAAAGGTAGAGGTGTTGAAGAATCCAGTTGATTAGGATTTCAGAGAACACGAAGAGTAAATGACCACCATTAGAAACCTAAAAGCACTGGACGGCCATTTCATCCTGGCATGAGACTCATCAGGTTTGCGCATCCACGACGGGAGACGAACCCAGGACATTCGGCCTAGGGTCTAACATTGATCGATTCCCGATTCCAATGAAACTGAAAAATCTCTCCAATCCTAAAACGATAATCTTTGTTTTAGCTGTTTACTTACGAATTTACTTTTGTAAATATCCATGATGCTTATTTATGTAGCAACTGAAATTAATGTTCTCTTATGAAGGATGTTAAGCTGAACCTTCTTTAGAATAAATATATTAAACCTTCCCAATTGCTGGAGCCAACACGACGTGGCTGATAAATATTTGAATTGGTGTTTACACACTACTTTACAGTTAGTGTATTGCAGGATGAACAGACGATGCACTATATACAAAATGTTCGGATGTACTTTTCAGTATACCGAACTTAGTTTTCAAATATACTTAAAAGTTAATACAGATAATTTGTTTCTTTGCATTTGAAAACAAACTGAATATCAGTGGTTAACTTTACGTCATACAAATGCGTCCACGAAAGTTTGACATTATAACACTAGGTATCTTTGTCCTCATTGAAAATGCATTACAGCTATGATCAAGTGATTGATATTTTAAATATTTTTTGATTCTTTTCATAGAGAAATATTATCACAATAGACGTCTCGCTTGTTATTGGAGGTGCACAAGCTGCTCGTGGACTTGTTACATTAATTAAAAGTATATTGCTTCAAAGAAGCTGGGAAAAATCGGTTGATTTTCCTGAATTTGCTAGAACAACAACTATAAAGTCAACATTAACATACAATGAAATGCAACATTCTGTTAGCGAAAGCAATAATGAATCATTCATCGACAATTTTAGTAAAAGTAGTGGTTGTTATATCAGACACATTAATTTACATTTAATATGTGACTATCATGCCTCTAAAAGTCTTTCAACTCTATTCGTTACATGGAATATTCCGAATTTCGATGTCTTTTTTTATCGACTCGAGCTATATTTGGTAAGTGGTGGCTTTCTTATATATATATATATATATATATATATATATATATATATATATATATATATATATATATATATCAAAATTAGAACACAGTATTATTCGGTTCAAAATCAAATACGTTTTCACATGAACGGTTGAGTTCATATAGAGAATAAGTAGTCAGAATTCAATCCTGAATATCAGCAAACAGATGAACAAAGCCTTTACTAGTAATGAGATGACTAAACGCATTAAAAATGCAGTCTCCATTTTTATGAAGGATTATATATAAAGTTTAAGAAATATACCTTATCAAAACAATTCTCATCATTCTACATGCTCTATTCCATGTTTGCCAACTAATCTTCAACCGATTTTAAAGTAAATAAATTTCATGCTATTAATTAGTGAAAACTATGTTGAAATTCATATTAAAAATCTCCGGACAAACAATGTTCGATTATCAGTGAAGAAATGTTTTTATTATTTTGTACTTATTTATAGTTTACCACAATGAAACCTTAAATAGGATTCCATTTCCCATGTTCAGGTTTACCATTAAGCCGTATCAGAGCTCGTTCAATTTTCAATGCTTTCCCACTTAAATTTGCGATAAGAAAGACCTTCGAAAATATATAAGTATTTATTTTTGACTAGTTTCATCAAGATAAATATTTAAATTTTAGCCATGCATTATAACCGTCTCTGATCAAACAGTTTGTTTTTTATTAGAAAAAAATCCCCACAAAATATCACCGAACGACAAGAAAATAAAAAAACAGATTTGTTCAACTTGAGAATATGTGAGAAATCAACCCTATAGAATAACAATGGAAAATGATAATAACAAAATGCAATGAATTTGTGGCATAGTTTAACCCTACTCGGTTGAATTTTCATTTAAATATATATAGTCTATTGATAGATCACTAGTGTCAGCTTTATTCCTTTACATTAATCGCATCGCAGCCTTTAGTTTCAACGTCTTTAGTGGGCAATTTGAAAACCAAGTGTGATTACGCTTGATTCCAGTAGAATGAGATGAAATAGAAACTTTAAGTAATAGTCAAATCTCAGTTTTTTATTTCAAAAATTTACGCATTTCGTAATCAAATGAACAGATTACGCCCGGAATATCCATATAGATGATATCTTTTACTTATTACATTCTGAACAGCAATAAATGAATTATTTAGGGGTAATTTGTATGAATGATACATTGAAGTGCAAAGTTATGAAATCAAGTAATCAGTAAATTGTAACCCTTACAAGAAAACTTCACGAAGTACTTAAATTAACGTTATATATAACTCTTAAGTGATAGTGATGTTAACCGTCATAGTACTTTTCTATGAAATTTAGGAGTCACATAAAATTCCTCAAAACATTCACACATTTAAATTGCTTGACTATTTCCTAGAATTTGAATGAATAGTTCTCCGAAGTTAAGTCGAATATATGGTAAATGTCATATACCAAATTTACATTTAAGATCATCTCAGCGATTGAGATCTATATACTTTCACCGAGTTTCTTAGCTGAAATAATGCGTATGAAAAATATCCTCCTTTCATTGCCAATAGAGTATCTACCGAATCCATTAGTTCTACGAACTACTTATTGATTTGATAACATTCTAGAAAATTCCTTCAGCATTTATTCATTTACAGATCTATAAGTAATCATTCCCTAGATCATTAAATTTGTGAGCAAAAAGAATTAGGATAAACTAAATACAAAATTCTTTGATCCCTATGTAATATACTTGAGCCTCCATCCAACTAGTGCCTGGTTTAACATTATACCCGCATAGTTTCCAGAAACCAAAAGTAACATTCATACATAGATGGTATGGTTCAAAAAAGATCAAATGAAATTATTTCATACAGATACAAAGTGTTATGAACAGTAGAATAGGATAGAAATTGTCAAAAGTATTTATCAGTAATAGCAGAATTATAAAATAATGAATAATGACTGATTCGTCTCAGTTCAGTAAAAAAAATTAACCAATTCATGTTACATAGATTCATTCACAGCATATATTAAAGCTTCTATAAAGATGAAAATTTGGTTTAAATGCCAATGTTGCTAATATTTTCTTCTTAATTACTGAATAAAATCCATTAGATCATTTCCTGATCTGATGGAAGAAAACAAATTATCTTCATCGCTAAAAGTAATTGTTAACCGAAAATTTTAGAAGCCTAAAATGGTTGCATAAATATAACAGGTCTTTTCTTCAATTATTATTCTATGATATAATGGAAAGAATCAACTTCCAGATAATCGGTAATGGGAACGTAACCGCAGACTTTTTTCTGTATGAATTAGAAATAAAAAAAATCATTATTGTGAACAAATTTATGTTTAAAGTTAGCTTATATGGTAATTTACACAAATATTTTGTAAATATCATATCACTTAACACTATAGTTAGAAGTTTATGCAGTTAATGGAATTATTATTACATCGTATAAATATTGATGTAATCAATATGACATAATTTAGCCTTTTGTGATGTTTCATATATGATGCTTAATTATTTAATTTCATCTCTACAACTAACTTTCAATTAAACCCACGAATATGAATAGGAAAAAATACTATTATAATGAATCGTCATTGAATTTAATAAAAGATGCTAATTAAAATACGTTAATTTTTAATGTAAATGATAATATAAAGTTAATATTTATTTGTAGCATAAAGTATCTTGGATACCCAGTACTCATTATTCTGGACTATTCGGTTTGTCAAAACTATTGATACCAGAGATTTTACCGGAGTCAGTGGAAAAGGTAAGTAAAACTAATTCTAAGTGTATCCGTGAACAATTACTATTCACGTTTTCCATCTGACGGTGTGAATAAGTCTACGTTTCTGGGAAACTTTTCATGAATAGAAAAGCAAAGACAAGTGTGAACGGATTATTATCATGCAACTAGTTGAGCGTATGAACTATTTCAAAAAGCTCTTACTTCTTTGATGAAATGCTTCAGAAATGTGTTAACTCAGTATGCTGTATTTTTAAACGCGTTTTAAAGTGGAGTCGATGGTGTTATTTTGGATGGTTCAGTGTATTGCTGTTGTAGCTTTGTTCAATAAGTTATCAATTAGGCTACCAAATATCATGTTGTCAAATTGTTTGTTGATTATCCTATATACGGGCTAAACAAAATCTATTAGTTTATTTGACATTATTGACAGCGGGAAAGTGTAGACAGTTAAAAACAGAAGCACAAACATATTCTGTTGTTATAATTTAAACACTTATGTGGAAAATTTTCATTTTGAATAAAGTTTGCATTCGGGAGACCGACTTCAGCTATTCACTCTCCGAAAGTAATGACTCATTGGACTAGATTATTTCATAGTATAAAGTATCTCATTAGTGCTTATTCACAGCCTTATCAAAAATCAAACATAATTTTTAAGTCTCACTTCTGGTACGCTGCTTTTAAACCACTGAATAGGAATTCAGTATAACCCGTTTTATATATAAAAATATCTCTTTAAGGAGAATAGCATCAACATTTATGAATTACCAGTTGAGTTCATATAAATGAAATTAGAAACTGTGTAATAATGAAACTTCGAAAAATTTAAAGGTGGTGAGGAATGAATAGATCAAAAGACTTATTTTTATGTAATATAATAAATTTACTCCAAATGCCTGATTAGATTTTGGCATTATACCAAATAGATTAAATGAAGCTAACCTGTAGCATGTTAAAATAACACTTCTACAAGGTTTTTTAGTATATCACTCGATGAAATAGTAATCATAATACCTGCTATGTAATCATTCGAAAAATTAATATAAAAGATTCATAGATAAGAAAGAATTAAAGCGTAATCACATACCGAAAATTATGAATGAATAAAGTAAAAAAAACAGTTCCATGAAACCAATGAGAATTTAGTTCGTCAAAAGTTACAAAAGTATGCGAATACAGTGTGAAAAATAGAAAATGCTTTGCATTAAACCACAACATATATCCCGTTTTATAATTTCAAACAATTTTTGATATGTTCTGAAAAGTTTTTCATAAATCATGGCGTGATAAGATGTCATATCTGGATTAAATATTTAGAGAAATCATTGTAAAAAACAAAGTAAATTTCTGATAATTAGTGTCAGAGCCCTTATAACTAATAAAATTTTACAGCTATCCTTTTCAAAATCAGGAGTTCTAAATCCTGATTTCAAATTATTTTAGCAATAGATAAGAATCTTATTAATATATATATTTCTGAATTTCCTTCCAAACTCTGTAAAATGAACTGAAATGATCCCCATCCATATTCGTATTATTGAACTAAGTTTATTTCAAATAAACTCTTATTGCATATATTTACTTTCTAGGTTATTAACCTTGACGTTGATCTTCTGGCGAATTCAGACCTGTTAGAACTTTGGGCCCATTTCAAAAGATTTAACTCCAGTCAGGTGAGATAATTATTTATTCAACAATCCCATTTAACATGACAATTCAATTATTCAGTGCTGTTTAGTAAAAGTAATAGATTATAGAAAACTCTTCTCCGTAAAAATTTAATTTATAATTTATAATTTAAGACTATATGTGAGGTAAATATTTGATTATTAAACATCATCTTGATATAGGTATATCTCACAGATTTGAGCATTTTTTTATACTAAATCTCATCAGAAATAGAATTTTAGTTGTTATCATAGTGGCGTTTAAAATAAAGAACTCAAAGTAATGGACCTTTGTTAATACAGCAATTTCGGAGATGAATAATGTGATCACGAGATTTACATTGTCCTTTTCAAAACGCCTACAACTTCTGCCCAAAATAATATTCCTAAATCTGGCTGCTATTGTGTGGATGTCTTTGTGAGCCTAATAATGTTCATGTTATGATTAGTTGGTATTCTATACGTAAGTTCCCTGATTGAACTTATGTTAATATTCTTAGTGATTTTATAAACTGGTTGGAGCATTTCGCCTCTAAAAGTTCTTTGATTCCCCGAAAGTTTTCACTTTTTAGAGTTTTCGGCATCTCTCCAATCAACCTTATGTTTACGGTAGTGATGAGATATCGCCAGTTAATTTATGTTTATCTATGAAAGCTTATAGTTAGTGCAACTTATTTTATTTACGAAACTGAACTTTTCTGTATGATTTTCTTCGACTGACATAAAACAAGGTGAAGTGATAGTGTTAGTTTTTAGTAATGCCACATTTTAGGGGTTTTGAAAATATTGAGTTGATTCTTGAAAATCTTACCTAAATGGCATTTTAATCAGTGTTAAGGTTTCTGAGTTTTGAAGATAAGAAAATCTAAGATTGGGACACAATAATAAAAATCAGTTCTTTTTTTTGTAAGAATTTTGTTATTTGCTTACAACCTGTAATATTTAGAAATCATGATTAAAAAATAGGTTGAAATTACTGGGATATATGAGTTTAGTCGGAAGTTATTTAAAGCATCCATCAGTATACTATAGCAAGGATGTAAATAATTTTAAGAGAGTGGATGAAATATTACAAATTATATATCTTGTGTGACAAAATATTCTACAATACTGATAGTAACAAATGACCAAAGATAGAATTTCACGTAATGAGTAAACATTAATAATAAATGAGGATAGAATGAGAAAATCTCTATTAGGCAGAATAAGACTAATAATTTAGAAGACAGTCAAAACAGTGTCATGATGTCATCAATCGAAAGGAAATATTCAACACAATTTTGTGATGAAACCAAGAACCATTCGTATCATCAAGGCAGTGAAATACAAACAACTATCTCCTTCTGGACACACTAATCAAGGACAGGCTTCTCTTTAACTTGTTAGACTTCAAAATCACTACCTTGAATTGTTGTTATCAATCACCCATGAACTGATGACAGAACTATTGAAAATGCATCAGGCAAAGTCACCTTAGGATCATAACTAAATGAACAATTATTTCATTCAGCTTAGCAACAAAATGTATTCTGTAACCATACAAACAATTGAAATATATTTCAAAACATTTCAGTTTAATTATATAGAATTTATTTGCAATAAAGAAATTTCCTATGGTCTTATCTTGAAATAAATTCCAAGTTTTAATCGATTATTTTCAAACGCTGACTAATCACATTTAAAAAAAACTTCAATACCAATTTCAAACTTTCTCATGTTGTGTAAAAAAATTGAATAAGATTTCAAAATTATTCAAACTAGGTCTTTTTATTTTTTATTTTTTTTGTATGTAATTTCATCCACATTGTCATTGAAAATATTATTTCACAGATGATTGGATTAGTTGCAAATCAAAGTCCATGGTATTTAAGAAAAACCAATCGAATAGTATGGCCTGCGTGGGTAATTCAATTATTTTTATTGATGTTCAACATTTTATTATTTATTTTATGAATGTAACTTCAAGTAAAAATACAAAGTCACAATTATTAATGTTTCAAAATGTTCAAATAATGTATTCATCATATTCGTAACTTCATGAGCTTTCTGAAGATTGAATATTTTTAATGAATGTAACTAGCAGTATGAGTCAGTTTTTAAACTGGTTCATTGTTTCGGCACAAATAGTGATCTTTCGTGAAGCATTATTTGAGATTTAAGGTAATCTTTCAAATAAGTGCAGACAAACATTCTTTTGAGGTGAAAGTTTTTTGTTATTAATTTATTACGATATCTTGTTATAAGCAAAGAGTTTTTCATAAACAGACAGCATTTAGAAATCTTTGTCATTCGGTAGTTCCATAGCTAAGAGATGTGTACTCCTCAAACCCTATTCTTTGCGTGTGCATACTTGAATGCCATTAAAGTTTTCCGAAGGAATTATTGCGACATATATATCAAGAAATTTAATTTAATTGAAAATATGTGAACTGTTAACTAAAATAGAAAGGTGAAATGATTTCATAATAAACGGAAAGCAAATTATGAAGGGAAATGAAATAAAAACATTTGTTAATAACTACTTGACTTTATGTAATGAGGAGACTTTAAAATAAACATTTTTTACTTGAAAGGTTAAAATGAGATATTGTTCATAAACGTATGTTTTGAAATCCAGATAAGATTAAAAACAGAATCCAAATATAACGTTTGTTTCCTACAGTAATAAATCAGACTACAGGTCTTCTGAAAAAGAAGCCCATCTGACAGCAATTAAACTGAAGGTGTACTTAAATTGGTTTGAGTTTTAAACAAGTTTTATTCTATTTCCTGTTTATCTGTACTAAAATGAGATGATAAACTCTAAAAAATGACATATTTATTTTAATCAAGGGTCCTGGCTTTAACACCGGTGTCATGTTACTAGACCTTGTTCGGTTACGTGAGTCTCATTGGTCAGAACACTGGTATCGAACAACAAAATCTGCATTACTCCATATACCTTATGCGATGTTAGCCGATCAGGTATATAAATGTCAATATTCTACTATTGTTTAGTTGAATTACTTACTTGAATTAATTATTCTCAACAAAACTTTTGATATTTTCAGAATATTATGTGGCTGAAACGTTCAGATATCAGGAATTTCAAGCATGCAAACTTCACAGTTGGTACCTAAGATGTTTTTACTTTTCGTTAATGATTAATAATGCTACTGTGAGATCCGTATTGAGTTGAAGTAACTATATATATTACTTAACTTCATTTGAACGATGAAATCATCAAATTCCAAAATACAAGATATAGATGTTTGTTAGCTTTGTTTAGGACCGTCACACAGCAGTGTGCGCAGAGAATATTACTCGGAATTGAATTTAGGAGGTTTAAGTCCCGCCATATAGATGAATCATTCAAACGTCCAAGCTTCAATCACCTAGGCCAAATTTCACGTTCAATGTTCGATATGTCGTGAATGTTTCATAAAACACACCCTCTTAATTAAACAAATCATTTTTGAATCTGGAAAAATGAATTCAGAAATCACTTTTCATCATATTTGGGATCGTTGAACTAGGTACTCCTGTGTCCATGTACTGATTTTGACAATAAGTTTCCAACGGCAATATTAGTTTATTCATCTGACTAGTCCCTAAAAGGACGAAACATTTGTCCCAAATTTCATTTTCAAACACAATCCAACATCACTACTATATGCAATCAAATTACAACATCTAGTTAGTTTGCTTATTTTAATCGATTAGATCAATTGTGTGTATATGAGAACTGTTGGAAATTTTCTAACGGACTGTTGATAATTTGCAAGTGAATAGTTTATGATTCTTCTTATGAAACGATTGTTTTGAAAATTCTCATTTAACTATGATGGGTTAGAAATGGACATATTGATGTTGCCTACGTATTGATCAGAAAAAAAACTTAAAACTCTTCACTACGTAACACCAAAATAGAATTGTCACTTATCAATCAATATTTTCATCTGACTGAATTCATTTGGTGGAATGGATTTATATAATTTTAGAAATATTAACAGAGTAACCCTGAGATAATACACTCAACAAGGCAATATTAGGTCCTGTATTCTACTTCCCACAACTGATATTTCCAAAAATACTAAGTTGTGACTTCTGACGCTAATAGCTGAATGAATTACAGTAATCAATTGTCAGTTAAACATCTTCGATTTATGTTCTAAATACATCAGGATATAACATATCCTTCATCTAAGTCTCAAATAGCATACGCACTGAGGCACATTTAAAATTTTCAAACATTATTTTAAATCCATTGACATTATTTTCACTATAAACACTTTTCTATCCCTTTTTTTTATTTTATTTTAATTCAAGGATATCATTAATACAGCTTTAGTGGAAATTCCTTCAATTATTTATCAATTACCATGTGAATGGAATGTTCAACTCACATCCAGTATGAATACAAAATTATGTCCAATAATTTGGTCAGATGACAATTCAATTCATAAAAACAACAACAACAACAATGTACATAAGTTTAAATCAGACAAATTTGAATTATTCAATTATTTTTTAAAAATTGCCCATTTTAATCATCCAATAAAAGCAGATATGATTACATTAAATGAAATTACCGATGACGACCAATTACGTAAGTCGATAGATAAATAATAATAATAAAAGTGATCATTGAAGAAAATTTTCTTTTGTCTTGTAGTGGTATTTACGATTGAATAATTAAACAGGTAGATATAGACAAAAAAAAAAAGAATATAACCACTTATTAGCAAATTAAAACAATAGATAAGCGTGAAAACACGGAAGTTGTTAAGAAACACAATGAAGCGTTCAAGAATGAAAACGAATGTATAAAGCAACATTATCAAAATTAGTTTCATACAAATGAGTTACATAATACTCGATCAAACAACATCCTGTTGAAATAACTAAAAAAATTTCAATTTTTTTACTTGATTTAGAAGAGCAATTTAGATCTTTATTTTTCGCAATGATGTTATTATTTACGACTCGATTTCACGTTAGTTAACTTTGTGTATTCATGTACCAGAAGGTTCGTTTTGTCAATAATGTCAAAAGCGTTTTTATTTTCAAGCTAGTATTAGTCGAAATACCATTAGTTTGTAATCAATCGAGTGGTAGATCAGTTTTCATGGTCAGCTGACATCCATTATTGAACAAAAGAAAGGAATTAGTGACGATTAGCTGTTTTATTCTTGTTTTGTGTTGTCATCATTACACATTCGTAACGTATACATATATCGTAGCTGAAGACAATTGAAATAATGATTTAACCAAAAGATCATCCATTTTTAACTATAATCCCTGTTGAAATCTATATTTTAGAGATCTATTGTTAGCTATTTAGGTAAACCAAACCTGTGGCAACCTACAGTTGTATAGTTCACAATTTAATATTTTGATAATTTCAGTTGATTCTACAGTCATAAAAATTTCATTGCGGAATGCACAACACTGATATACTATATAATCCATTAAAAAATATCACTGAAATAAAAATGCTTTGTTTACATTTTTTTCAGGTCTAAGATTAAAACGACAATTTATGAGAATGTATCGTTATTATCAAAATTATGATGGAATGATAGTTCAATCATCCACAAAACTGAAATCATGTTCAGAATACGATATTCCTGTAACGTATACCCACAAGGTAATTTATTTTGATTTGTAATAATAACTTGCTTACTTACGTCTGTTTCCCATCCCCCATGCAGCATAGGCCATCGACCAGTATTCTCCAACCTACATTGTCTTGGGCCACCCTTTCCAGTTCTGTCCGACTTTTTTTCATTCTTCTCATGTCTTTTTCTATTTCTCGGCGTAATGTGTTCCTTGGCCTTCCTCTTTTCCTTTGACCTTAAGGGTTGCAGGTAAGGGCTTGTCTGGTGACGCATTTGGGTGCTTTCCACAATCTGTATCCTATCCACTTCCAGCACTTCTTCCTGATTTCCTCTTCCACTGGAATCTGGTTTATTTCCTCCCACAGCAGATTGTTTCTGATAGAGTCTGGTTAATGGATCCGACACCTGTTAATAAACACTTGAATCTTCTGGATTGTGGCGTTCGTAGTTCTCTTTTAATAATAAACGTACCAATAATATTTTGACTTTTCATGAAAAGATAAAAATGTCAGTAGCTGAAGAATATATCGATTCATATATTCGTAAACAATTTAATTTTGTAATGATGATCTATATGAATGCATTATCATACTTATTATGATTATTACCAATAACAATTCTTGGTTAAGCATTATTTCACTTATGAATTTTGTTCTACCATTTTATTGAATCCGACTGGGAGCTAGTGTTATTTGAAAAGTATCAGGCTGATTTTTTCAAACATAAATACACGATAATTACAAAGACTATAAAGCCATGAAAAAGGAATATTTAACTAACTAGACATTAGTTACATATCTGTTCAAGTTTCAGTCTTGTTAGTGTACTTGGCAGTTAAAATAATCAGCTTTAAATCCAATCGAATCAAATTCTTTTGTACCTATTTTAAGATGAACTATTGAGTAGTATCTCTATCCATTACATAATAGTAATGAAGTTCAGTAATTTCTATATGATTACTGAATTATATCAGCAGCTAATAAATTGTACTTTTCTTAAGTTCTTACACATACAAATACAGCATGTATTATTTTCATGTTTTTTCACTTAGTTTAACCAAACAACCTCAAAAACTACCATCACGATGGATGGTTGTGAAGAATTTGCAGAAGATTTGCTCAAAACACATAGAATACATCCATATTTTTTAGAGTGTAACTTTTCCACTTTTTCAATGAAGGATGAAGCGAATATTACAAGCTTGAAAAATCATGTTAGCCTCGTTTCACAATTAACCTTTGATAGGTAATTAGAAGTACATACAAATTTTTTACAATATTTTTGTTACTTTGAGTATTTTTTTTACTCTGACTTTCAATAAGTCATATTAAAATTGTAAATCTTATGATTGAAAATTAGCTAATCCCTAAAAATTATAAACGAAGTTAATGTTTTAGCGGATTTGAAGGTGAATACATTATCCAAGAGAAATTTTATCGAGTTTTTGATTTGGGTGGAGCTGAACACCACTATAGATAGTGGATAAGAAACCTAGTGAAGTAATCAATCTTGAAGTACGGACATATCCATCTTATTTGTTTCGAATCAGATGAAACTTAAATACTGGATTCCTTTTTCTAACTACACCCCAAATGTACTGAAACTTGGAACAACCAAACAATATCAGTTATCAGGATGCATATATGCTCACATAAAATGGTTGACATATACTCCTGAAAATCAACAACCGTATAATATATAAAGCATATCGAATACTATCACAATTAAATTAAACTGCCCACCAAAACTGTTTCCTTTCTATGCTAATTCATTTAAAAAGAACAAGCCTCTAAAGGAAATGAAGAAAATTTTCATTTTTGACGATACTATTGACCTAAAGCTGTATAGCTGTATTTATAATTGTTATTTTACAAATTGCGGTCTATAATGAAATAAGAGGTTGTTAAGTCAAAAACAGATGTACTAAAAGTTAACTGAGATTTAATATTACGTTATAATCAAGTGATGATAGGAAGGAAAACAACATGTAGAAGTGAAACGTGAGAGATTTTCAACTTGGTGACCATAAGAAAGGTAAGTAAAGGAAACAAAACACATGTCAATAAATGACTAACAAAGTATGAAAGAGCATAGGAACCATAGTAAACTAAGGGAACGAATATATCTTTTCTGAATTTAATAACCATAATTGAATTGATGAATTACTAAAGCATGCTCTAAGTAAAAGTTTCTTGACCAGCTTCCTTTAAAACTAGTTCAACTTACACTATGAACAGCTTTAAATAAAGAATCAGGTGGAGGTAAATGACTAAAACTAACAATAAATTCAACAGTCGAGTAATCGACTGACACGTATACACTTAACCATCGACCATGCTGAATATTGTTCAGATATACGTCTGGGAAAAGAGCGCTTGACTAATGACGCAACAATTCTCTGTTTTATTATCGAGCTTATTATTAACGAGCTACTAATACAGTTGTTACTTTATTACTGCACTTTATTAGTGCACTATGATCTAATTATTTCGTGTATAAAATCCCTTAAAAAAACTTTTGTCTGTTGTGAAGTTTATTTCAAAAAGCTCTCAGTGAAATTATAAAGTTGGATCCATAATTCTATTCTATCGACTGTTGATGCCTCACTTTTAAAGCTACATCCAATCGACTAACATATTTTATATTGACAATTGCTTAAATTCATTTATTATGGTCATTATAAGGTTGTAGAAATTGTTGAGTTTCATTTAAGTCATGAATAGACCAATATAAGACCACCATATGGAAGTGCTGAATGAACGATTCGTCCTAGTATGGAACTCATCGGCAGTGCACATCAAAGACCTTGCATGCAAGAATCGAACCCAGGAATTTCCGTTTAGTGCACGAAAGCCTAATCTCTAGACCAATGAGCTGTCGTCCACTGATGTTAATGTCTTCATTCAATGAATCACTTTTGTGATGTTCGCAAACGACCTCCAGGTGCCTATTTTTCAGAAGTTACTAGAATTGAAGGAGCCTAATGACTGAATAGTCATATTTAGAAAATGTAAGACGTTTAGATTCATTATCTTGAACTTTTCATTACCGTCCAAAATCATACATAATTTCATTAATTCTGTTATCAGTCGAGTTATTTAGCAATAACCAAGCACACTGGTTAATAATGAACTGACTTGATAACTGTATTCATTTATTGATCCTTGTTGATAATATCTAAATCATTTTGTTTATTTTTTCATAATAATTATAATTAACAGATTACATCGACTAGAAGAGCTTGCAGCAAGATGGCTTGGACCAATGAGTTTAGCATTGTATTTGACGGACAGAGAGACAACATTGTTGATAGAATATATTACAAATTCTCCAATTCTACAAAATCGTACAAATATTGGTTATCATATTGTATATGTAGATGGAGTGAGTATAGTTGCTCATAGTATAATAATTATAATGATATTTTAACTTTACTATAAGAATATCGGTTTACTGTTTGACTTATCAATTTTATTTTATTGAAAATATCGGGATTACAATATATCAGTTGGAATCCCTACAAGGGATGGATTATTCATTGTTGTACGTACACTCTTTGCAAACATAATAACAAGCTGTTCAAGATCCTTATACGGCAACAGAGAGAGGTTAATTTTAATTATGAGTATCATTAATAATAGCCAATTTTTTTGATGGTTACGACATTCACCACACAGACTAATGCATATCCGATTACTTTTCAATATTCGGTTTTATTAATTATTATTTGGCGCATAGAAACAGTTGTTTGTTAAACACATATAAATAATAGCTAATAGTGCAATGCAGGTCTCATTTTATGTCCTATGTGGGACTTGTAAATAAACATTATTGATGTCTACATACATGTTATCCAGATAATGGATACTGTGACCTTTCATCCTTGTACCACTCATCATTTATGTACAAAAAATTACTTTAGTTTCACAAATGTAATGAGTTTTACATTTGTCATCAGAGGTTTATCTGGCATCATCAAACATTTGTGATCTGTATAACGTGTAAGTTGAGTAACAAACTATTCACCTCTAATCTTTATACTCAATGACTATGAACCAAGTTGATAAATAACTGTCAAAAAACCCAGATATTCAAATGATATTATTTTTTAAAATTCATTTCCACAATTGAAAATGAACTGTTTTCAACTCCTTTTTTGATATTTTTAAAATTTCAATTATAAATAATATAAGAACTATCGCTTATAGTCAAAACTGATGTTGAATTATATGCACACTGATGAAGTCAACATAGATAACATTCTCTTTGTGATATTTTGATTGAACCTCATTTATAACTCATATTGTTACACATTGAGTTAGTTAGTTAGTTAGTTATAAAGTTACGCTTTTTTTTCTACACTTTATTATCTCAATGCTAACAATATTCTCAGTGTGAATAAAAGCTGCAAAAATAGTGATTATTTATATTTATATCTTCAGTTCATTAGGAAGCCACTTTAAAGATATTTAAAAAAACCACTTGAAATAATGAATATTGTGAATTTAAGAAAACATTGAATCTTGTGAATGCATCTATTGCAATGAGAATAATTCTTGTTCGAAACAAACTAATTACCTAAGACAGCAAAATTTTTGAAAACATTTACATAATAATAAATTTATAAGCAAAAAAACATCGAACATTTTATCTAATAACCATTAGGTTCCAGAAGGCTTTATAAATCGTAATGCTTCATTCTGAGCTTTAGATGAATCAAGATTAAAGTCAAAACGAATTTAAGAACGTAATAAAACAAAGTTTTAAATTATGAGTGATTATATTAAGTATAAAAGGTTTGTTTTCAACAAAAATCTATCTGACTTATATAGTATGAACCAGTGAATTTCAATTTATTAACTGAACATTAGAGTTCGCTGAGCCTTGACTTTGATTCAAAATCGTCATTTTATAAGAACATTAATAGTTTTGAGAATAGAACTGGCTATCTGTTCATTACTTACTGATTTACTTTGGTCAGTTACTTGATATCAAACCGAAATAGAAACGTAACTGTAGATTAACATTAGAGCCAGAAAGAAACGTTACTTAATACCTTTCTGTTAGATTTCAAATCATTATTCAGAATATTCTTCATGAATGAAAACTATATTGTAAATCAGCAGTAAAATCGATATTTTGCGCAAATTCAATGAAAAATCAATTCTTTGATGTCATTAGTTGTTGGGGATGTTATATCCCCAGAATTCGCTTGATAGATATCTTTATTTTGGGCTTATTTGATGGACCGATCAGTTGACCTTGAGATCACATTTCCCACCAGGAAAATCCTTGGCTATGATTTGTTACTGTGTCATTTTAGTGTGCTCTTTTTGTGATTGTCCGAAGGACATCTCTACAAAGTATAAATAAAGGCAATTTGAGTGCTTGGATTCATTGTGTGTTGGCTGGGTGTTTGTAGAATTTCTACACTATTTCAAGTATTCTTGCCAATTCATTTTTGGTCAAGGGATCACAGTAGCCTACTTGGATGCTGGTTCATTGTTTTGTTCTCGTTATTCGACTAAGGTGAACTCGTAATAGTTTAAGCATAACTAGAGACGAGCGTAACAATAGTTTTCATAAATATGATAATATAAACTACATTGAAAATTTTAAATAGTGAAAAACTATTGAATTTTCAGATACATAAATCATATTAACTAAAGTGTTTATCAAATGTTAGAAATTCATCACCAAATTCTGAATTGTGCTGGTACTTCTATTATTACATTGAATAAAAATATAAACACAACTTATTTTATTTATTAATGTATTATATTATATTTTAATTTTGATAATTAATAGTCATTTTCATTTTTTTGTTAACTTTACATTTGAAAAAAATAAATGAAATAGAAATTTTATCCGATCAATATATTACGTAATATTGCCATAAAATATTCAGTGACCGAATTTATTTTTCACATTGATATTGATTTCTTACCACAAGAAAATATCATTGATTCTATTGAAAAATCTATCAATGAACATTTGTTACGTGTAAGTTCAACATAAAATTGAAACGTGCCTTATTCTATTAATATACCGGTTTAAAACTTTTCCTAACTCTATGGGCTTTTAATATTAAGTGTAGATTACCTTTTATGGATAATATAAGTGCATGCGTACTACTGATGACTTCCATACTAGGACTAAACGACCATCCAGCGCTTCTATGTTTCTGAAGCTGGTCTTACATCGATCGATGACAAAGTGTTCTACCAGGTCCCAAAATTATCAATAGAGGTGTTAATGTATTAAATATTATACAAAAGCTTAAGATGAAATTTTATTCAAATTATATTTATTTGAAATGAGAAATAAATGAAATAGATTTTTAAGTTTGTAAAAATTTTTAAACGATTAATACCTAATGATCGAAATGAAGTAACTTGATTATCTATCCATCACTGATATGATTAATCAACTTTCTTGAAAATATTTAGTGAACTATTAAGGTATATTGTTAAACCTATTCACAGACTAATCCGTATAAATAAGTGTCGAGTAACAGAAAAATTTTCATAATTATTTTATAGACAATTATTGTATGATGTAATAAATTAGACGGAAAACGTAAAAACAATGTTTTCGAAGTGCGACTGACCTATATTGGTGGAAGATAATGGCCGATAGTTCTTACCTATTGTAGAGATGATAAACTTAGTGGTTTCCAGAAGTATGACTATTTATGACGTTAATAAGTAACAATTTACAAAACTCAATGGTGCGGACTATTTAGTTTTGTCGTAATTCAGCAGAATAACGATTGCTGTCATTGGGATATGGTTGGTTAATGTCCGCTTCCCCTCGTTGAGCATAATTAACCGACCAGAAGTCTTCAACTTATTATGTACTTTTAAGCTTTTGTGTCGTGCAGTGCGTTATTTTGTCTTCGTCTTATGCTTCTGCCTTGAGGATTCCGTGTTGGGGTTTTTCCTGTGACACCATCTAGTGATTTCCACACTGTGACCATCTATCTCTAACGATTTTTTGTAGTTTTTTCTTCAGACGATAGCTGTGGAGAGAGTAGGTAGCCTTTTCTTCACTTGAAATGAATCTGTCCTCTACTCCTCGTGCAAGAAGTTGCAATATAGTTCGTCTTAAAAACTGCGCGTTTCCAGGTGCACCATAGTGTAGAAGCAGCTTCCATAATATTCTCTTCTCCGCAATATCAAATACTTTCTCCTAGACAAGGAAATGATATATGATGATGAGTTTCATCCAGCTGGTCGGCTCAACAGTTATCTTTAGGGTGATGATTTGATCAGCACAAGATCGATTATTGCGGAAGCTGGCCTGCTCATCTCGAACTTAGGCGTCTACCGAATATTTCATTCAGTTCAACAATACTCTATTAAACACCTTTCTTGGTACTGAGAATAGGGAGATACCTCTGTAGTTTTTGCACTTGCTAAGATCTCTTTTTTTGGTGGCTTGAATAGGTGTCCTTCTTTCCAGTTTGTCAGTACTTGTTCTTCCTCCGAAATCTTGATAAACAGAGAGTAGATCATATTTGCAGTTACTGCTATGATTACTTTCAACACCTCAGCTTGTATATTGTCAAGTCCCTCTGCTTTACCACTCTTGATTTATCTGATGGCAATACTGATCTCTTCAGTTGTGCCACCTATGATTAATTTGTTAAAAGCAAACAAATTTACAAACCTCTCACCAATTTAATTCCTTTTTCTCATTCTATGTGGTCCAATGATATCTTCATATTTGGTGTTGTCCATTCCAACTTCGGCGTTTAGATCTCCCATGCGGATGGTTGGACTCATGATAGATTATCTTCTACGACTGAATGCAACCTCTTATGAAACTGAATATTATCATATTCATTGCGATCATAGGTGAGCGCGTGGCACTTTCTTTTAAAGGATACTTCAGTGATCTTGGGTTTATGGGATTCCCGTCCTACTGTTTTTCTTTGAACAACACAAACGCAGATCCCTGTGTGTACAAGGGATTTTTTCATTGTGGTCGGATTACAATACATTTCTCTTGAATTTGTTCTGTTTTGCTCAACCTGCGTCCAACATGATTCGCTGATTCAAATACCTCCACGTTGCATGTTTTCATTGGGTTAAAATTCCATGTACCTATGATGACTGTTACTATGCTTGTCAGAAAGAGTCATCAACTTCATGACTTCAGAAGAAACTCCGCTTTCACCATGAGAAGTCATAACTCTTCTAAATGCAGGCCTCCTGACTCCTAGATCAGAGATTGAATAGTTTAAAAGATGTTTTGCTGTAAGCCTTTTTTTATCAGGTTTGTTTTTTACAGCATGACGTCGCTTCCCTCATGCCTCACCATGCTCCCCTATCAGGGCGTGGGACCATCGGTAATCCCAGAACAGTTATAGGCAGATATTAACATCAAGATATTATTTTTTATTCAGTAAATATAAGTTATGTAAGTGAACATTTCTAATTCTGAGGACAATCGGTTGATAGGATTGATGATAAATGATTTACAGTCTGATCCTGACCAACTTAAAAAAATTAGTTTTTATCATTATTTAACCTGTTAACCGATTCATTGAAAAATTTTAAAGGTATGAATATACTGTCTTTTTCACTTATATGATCTTAGAATTTAAGTATTTAATCGCAGATTATACTCTTCATTTGATTTCGTTCTGTTTTACAAGTTGCAGACTAGTCTTAGTGGGAATTCAGATAACTTATCACTAATTCATGCTTAATTTTAATGACGAAAGAGTTATTATAAGTAGTATCTTGTTTTGTTTACTATTATGTATTCTTATTACAGGACAATAAATTACGAAATATTTGTTTAGTAGTACCAGCATTTGAAACTTTTAAAAATCATTTGAAACTACCAGAAACGAAAAAAGATTTGATAAAATCTTGGGAAATAGGAGAAATTTTACCATTTCGGCATAAAATCTGGTCAGCTGGTCATATGTCAACGAATTATTCACATTGGAAACTTTCACAAATTGATTACGAAGTATGTTGGTATTGTAAAGATACTTTATGATATTTGATTTTAATAGTGTCATATAAATAGACTAGTTTAAATGTCACTTTGATCAGTTATACTATTCATTCTTTAAGAAATTCGATTTCTTCACTCCGAACTACTTTTCACTATGACTAATTATAAACTTAATACACAGTACGATGCCAGAACATTTAATTACAACTTACCGGAAAGGTTAAGTAATTGGATCATTCTTCATCAACTGTTTGATTTAAAGTTTAAATTTCACTGAACTTTCATAATTCATATAATACATAAGCCATACTAGTAATAATCAACAAGTCTAAAATGATGTTCACGAACAAATTGGCTATTGTGAAGAATAGTGAACTCTATAATGCCTTTCAAACGTGTTTTCGTTCTGTTTTATTCCGTGTATGTTTGACACTTTTTCTCTTTAAAATCTAATTCAAATAAAATTTCGTTTTTATTTATGTATGCCTGTAATTAGCTAATCATGAAAATAATGGGCACTAATAAATGAGCTATATGATTAACCATACTTCAGAATAAATTTTTTAGTACGTGAAGATGCTCATTTTCTTCACACGAAACACGTAAGTTAAGTTAAATGAAGCAAGGAGCGGTATAATACTAGTATATGCTCAATTTCCTGTATCGTCATTGTTAGCATTGTCAATGTATGTTGTGTACCTCAAAGATTTAAACTTAAGACAGCATGTTCTCTCATTCATAGACGGTAAAAAGTAGAAGAACAATTTCAGTGATTATTTTAATAACTGAACTTAAATATTTATAATCAAAATCTATGTCCCAAAATGTGGTGCAAATGAAACTGTTAGTCATAACCAACCCGTTACAAACTGTATTTGTTTATATTTTAGCTAAATCTAACTTATCACTGAAGGAATAAGTACAAGAGTTTTCTCATTATGATCGATCACTTATTAACTGCTGTTTTGATAGTTGTTTAAATTTTTAAGTGATCAAAACACTAAAAGAAAGAAGGATAATTTTTCATCTTTATAATGATGTTTTGTACCTAATCCATGGTATATCAAGTAATTTGTTTACTATTTTTCACGGTTTGTCTTTTAAAGGTACAATGGTCAGCAGATTATGAACCATATGTAATTGTTTCGCGTTATGCAACAAAATTTGATGAAATTTTTATTGGATTTGGTTGGAATAAAGCTTCATATATTATGGCGTTAGATGCATTAGGTTATAAATTCATTGTTTTAACGAATGCATTTCTTATACACTTACCGCATCCACCTAGTTTTGAAGTGTTTCGTTATCGAATGAATTCAGCTTACAGGTTAGTGATTTCAAGTTTTCTTTCACTTGTTATTAAAACTTCATATGAATCTGCATTGAATGTCATATAAAAAATCAGTTATCTACATTTACTGACTTTCGTTTATCAGTTTAGGCGAATATCTACTCAATGCAAATACGAAACTGCAGTCAAAATTATTTAGTCTTGATACCCGAACATGTTAGAATTTAATAAATGTTCAAAGACAACAAATTTAGTAAAATCTGATATTCAAAGTCTGTTTGGTGACATTTCATTCGAATTAAAAATAAATATCTCTCAGTACTCTATTTAATTGTATAATGACATCTGTCATCCTTAAGGCTTATCCGAAAATCATAAGCTAAGAAATGCACTCTATCTGCAAGATAATGAATTCCAGCCATTTAAACTTCTCAGGAATATAATCAGGCGGAATGCAAAACTTGTATTTGTCAAATTAATTTTACTGACCTCCATTTGATTATTAGTATTTCTATTCAGTTAGGAAGTTTTTTCGTCAAAAGTTAAACAGAAAATACTTTGTACGGAACTAGAGACACATCATAACTTATGTAGTGTGTTATGACAGACTAGTGTTCAGTATCCAGTAATCAGTTAACAATACTCAATGACTCATTAATTTGTGATTATCAATCCCATAACAAGTTGACATATAATTTTTACATTCAATATAATATTCGTTCAGCATAGTTATTAAGTTTATGTTCATTTTAACATCTATAATAAGTACTACTGAAATAAAAATACTGAATGCAGCTTCTTGAAAATAACATAACGACATAGCATAATGAATTAAATATAGAATCAATTTAATCCATAAAGTAAAACTTTTTTAAGCGTAACCTGAACAGCGAACATCCAGTTATATTCATTCTGGAAAGATAATTTTCATAACCCTTTAACAGATGTGACAAGTACCCTGTGGTTTCAACAGAAAATCGATTTTCTTGGTCACGATTCTTCTACAGATGAACTCACTTTGATTTTAACCAGTATCTTACATAGTACAAAGTTAGATATGTCAATTAATTGAAACTAGTTATGAGAATATGCCAGACAAATTATAAGACCATTCAGTACTTGGTTCTGTGCTTTTATTGTGGTCACTGATGTATACAGCTGACAACTATTGAGTGGATGGAAGAGTTGTTTGATGAATGCAGGTTTTTATTGCTTTTCGAGATTATATTTAATCCGAAATATAAGCTAACTTCAGAATAAACAGTCATCACCAACTCCTTATCATAATGATTAAGTTTATAAGTTTAATATCTGGTATTTGTATGGAAAAGAAAGGTATTAAAAATGACAAACTTCTTAATTATACCATATCTACATTTGTTTTTAGATCATGTATTGACAAGCTGAAACTGGATTTTATTAAACGTCTAGCAAAGAAACACGGTGTACAAGCTTTAAAATATCTTCAGTTTCGTAAAGATTCACTAATCAATTAATTAGGATGAACAGCATACATGTTTTTGGACTAACTATACAGTTAAGCAAAGTAAAAAAATTATCATTGCTGGTATGGAGATGCATCAACAGCTATCTTGGTTGACAGTCACAAAAAGAAAGTCAAGTCGGAATATCTGATATTTGCCAACAGTGAAGTTCAAATAAAATTCAAAATAAATTTCTACAGATTGAAAAAATTTTCCATACACTAACAATATTCAGTTAGAGTGTCTGTGTATAAATTCTGTACAAAATATTTTACTAAATATAATAGAAAATTTATTTTGACAAATGTGATCATTCTGTGGGAAATATAAAAGAGTCTTTGTTATTTTAAATACTGAATAATAGGTCTTTTACAATAATCAGTGAATTTTGATGGCTATTCACGTAGTGGGTTACATCGTATAAGGATATTATCTAGACAATTATAGAAACCAGACAACACTGTGCATTGTTTTGTCTTAGTATAAACTAAATACCTTATAGAATAATGAAGTTTGTGGTTCAGCTCTTGCTCGAAGATTTGTGAGAACTCAATGCTAGGGAAGCCAACACCAGGACAAAAAAGCTGTTCTGCGCTACTGATGTATGGTAGTTAAAGGAAAAATATGACTGGTCATTGGGTGTGGACAAACAAGTACTTAGCCTATTGACTGTTAAATATGTGACTTCCTGTCATCTCATTGATTTTTACTTTGTACATGCTCATTGCGACTGGCTGTAACAATAGAGAATCGAGGTTTATTCTATTTTGTTTCGACATAAACATAAGTACAAAGGGGCACTATAATTTATATGCACCACACAAATCATTAAGTTTTTGTGTGTGCTGGGAGACTGACTGGATGCCCAAACTGAAGCAGGTGCTTTTCTTAGAAGGCCACATTCCGTCTAATCTATAAGGGAATAGAGCTACGTGGGGTGATATAGTCTTATAACAACCGGTGACCAAGAATAGGTCTATGCAACATTTGTCCCACGTACACCAGTAATTTGGAACTATGGTGTTCCAACTCCCCTAGGTCGATCCTCCGTATCAACAAACCAGTTCTATGCACTGGACATCCGCTTTTCGTTCTCTCGAATTCGTAAATAGTACTCTGCCATTAGAAGACAGTGAATAGGATTTTTTGACAATGTCTTTATACTAATGGCTATTCGAGAACATCTCTAGGGGAAAGTGGACTTCCCCAGTCTTGGTTATAACTGAACATTTAGGGGCAAATTTTGATTAGATTTAGTCTGATTTTTCTTCTTTGATAGTGTAATGGGTATCTGATGTTATATGATCTAGTTTCTGTGTTTAGTGCAACAACTCTTACAAATTACGTAAAATATAAAGTTGAAACAGTATGTGATTCAGTTTTTAGTGAATCCACTGTTACTAAACATTGTTTTCATTGCCAACTGATATCAGGTGGAGGATCACGGAACAACAGCAAACAGTGAATAGTTACCAATTTTTTAGATGAGCTTATCATAATGAACTCGGTGGGTGCCACAGCAATCACTTTAACTAGAAGATAGTACTCGTACAGCGTAATATCATCCGGGCCACCAGTATACAATAAGGAATACTTGATTAGATGAGCTCTCTGTTATGATAACTATATTGACTCTGATATTATTTTATGGACACAAGATCACGAGATCTGATAAAAAAACTCTAATTAGTTAGATCATCAAGCTAAGACCCAATTCATGATATAGCATAACGATCATTCATTATCACTAATAACTACTGCCTCACTCCTAAATTGTCTGAACACTCTTTATCATAACTTTTCGTTTTCAACTTTAGGAACAATCTCATGCTTCATATTTCTGATTGATATCCTAATCAATATCATTTATCGATGAGAGTTATCTTTGTAAAACTGTTGGTAATTGATCAAATATTTTAAATAGAAGAGACTTTCCATGAAAAAATCCATAGTATGTTCTAATTATTCAAAAAAACTTTGATATTGTGAACAGAAACTTGATGGAAATCAGTATGCGACATTTACAAACAAGAAATGTTACTTCTTCAAAAACATACACAACTCTCTTAACTATTAAAAGAGATTTTTGTTTGGTAAAACAAAGGTGCTTTTTTTTAATTCACGGTGAATTGTATGAAGATTATTCAAATTGCAGATAATAACTTAGTTATTATGAAATTTTGTAAGATTTTTAATATCTGATCACATATTCTATTACATTATTAACAATATGTAACCAGATGAAACAATTATCATTGACATTTTAGATTTTTATTGACAGAATGTCTACTAAGTAGAAAAGATATTAACAAATGTTTGTTGTATCATTGACAAAATGATACTTACATCCATCTGTGATCTGAAGCATATTTCATATATGGAATCTAAGACGCACCTTTTAACCAACTTGGAACTTATCAGTAGGATGTAAATTCATGCTAGCGTCACTGTTTACACCGAGGTCGAAACTCACTAATTTCAGCTTTTGGTCTTAATGAGTTATTAGCTGAACTTTTGTGCTCAGATAGTGATTAAAGCTCCAAAGAATATAACGATGATTGTAAGGAATTTTAGTTTACTTGTTTCTGACTTTCAGGACTTAAACTGATTAACTTTATTCAGTATGTTAAGCCGATTGCCTTGTTATGGTGAATTTAATTTATCACTATTCACTTATCAAATACACTATAATATGTGACAAAATTATATATTTGAGTAATCTGTCCAAAATGTACATGCAGCAATGAAGAATGATTAATCACATCTCTGAAATTGCAAGCTCTAACTATTATCAATAAAATCGCCAATCAATCATTGTTAGACCGCCATTAGAACCCTGGAAGCACTGGATGGCCGTTTCGTCCTGGTATGGGATTCACCAGCAGTGCGCATCCATGACTCATGCACCTCGCAGGATTCAAGCCCGTGACCTTCGGTATTGTGCGCAAACGCCTAACCATCGGACCACTGGGCCGGCACTCAACGGTGTTAATGTCTAACTCTGATTGATGCGCGCTGCTGATGAATCCCATACCAGGACGAAACGGCCATCTAGTGCTTCCAGGTTTCTAATCGTGATCTAACAGCAACCAATCAAGACCGAGGTTAACAGAGAAAGCTGCAGATCAAACGCGGCAAAAGTCTAATACTCCACTTCCATCTGAAGTTTGTGCTGATGATGTTGTTCAGAAGAAAAATGGAAGTTCCCTAGCCAAAACATCCAGCTCAGAGAACAAAACACCACCACAATCATCCACTCGAGCTACAAATTTTCTCTACCATCTCAACAGGTGTCTACTATTTTAAAATTTATAAACTTAAACGTTTAGATATTTGGCAACATTTAATTAATCTGTGCAATTGTCAAAAGTGTATTTCATTCTTTGTTTGAAACATTTCATATGCGCCTAAATTTCAGGAAGTTTAAATAATGTAGTATACTGACTGCTATATCCAAATTTTAAATCTGATGTTCAATTGTCAAACATTAAACTAAAATTTAATTGATCTTGTAAACGATTCAAATTTTGTAAAATTTTATCACGAAGGACAAAAGTTGTTATTTTAATGTTAGTTTACTAAGGAATAAATAATAATTATGAAATTTAATACAAACAAATTATAATAACAATTTTCTAATTTAAATTTAATTAATATATTTTTATGAAAACTTGGAAACAAGAAAAATATTGTATTTTTTTTGTTCTTACTGTGGATATTTATCTGTTGAATTAGCTTATATTATTCCCATGGGTCATGCATAAATTATTTTACGAAATTCATCATTTAATCAAACTTATGTCACCAAGTAAAATTTCCATCTATATATATATATATATATATATATATATATATATATATATATATATATATATATATATATATATATATATATATATATATATATATATATATATAAGAATGGACATTGGATAATTCAGTATTTTCTTAAAATTAGTTATTGTAGTGTCCTACAAATATAAGTCTGCTGATTTATTTATGGATCACCAGTGATTAGAGTATTAGGCATTTTTTATTTCTAGTAAATATAGACTTCGTTTATAATAACATTGGTAACTGAATAAAATTAGGCATGTAAATCATTAGATATAAGGCTCAATGAGCTAAAGTCTAAGTGTTCAACATAAAAGTTCCATCTCCAGTGGAGTTGTGTTTTGTTTTGCCATACAGTCACGTACTCGAACAAAAGAGCTTATCACCGATAACTAGTTATCGATGATTGTTAAGATACAAGCACAAAGTAGTTACTAAACTTAGAATCTCTTTGAAGAACATTCATGATGTGTAAATGGAATAGAAACCATATAATATGGATATATAATTTAAATAGAAAAATTTTTGTTAATAGATCCAACAGGGTTTCTTGAAACAAGACTTTTCTGCGAAGTGCCTAATTCAATCACTAAACAGAATTTAGAAACAGAAATAGTTTTATATATGGGTAATTGTAGTATGTACAGATAAATGCAAATTGAAACAAACTAATTTATAAACTCATAATAATCTATATATTCATTAATAGATAAACATACTAAGAAAGTCAATTCAAAGTGAGTCTTTTTTTGAAAGGCTTCTCGCAAAAACAATTCACAGATTAAAAGATGATTTCTTTAAGTGAATATTCCTTTCCAAGCATAGAACTGAGCTTAGAGAAATTGATTTTCTACACAAATATCATGCAAAATGGACAGATATTGGTATAAATTAACGCTTAAATGATCCAATTTTACATTCTTATTGATCAGAAGTCAACAAGAGGAATCCTGAAGTCATATTTGGAATTATTCAAATTTACAAAGTACTGTATAGTTAAATCTAAACTAACAAGACTAGAACCTTTTGTTTTACTACAGGACTTCTACATGCATGAATAATGAATTTATACTACATTTATAACAATAAACCAATGATGTACATATAATAAGTTGATGAATTGAATTTGTACATCTAATCATAACTAGTAATGAAATTCTATAAACTAGTCATAATTTGTTTTTTTTGTTAATAAAGTTAAATGATCACAGAATAGAAAAATAATACTTCATAATTATCGTTGACTGCACAATTTATTCCCATACTCCACCAAATTAGAATAGAAGAATTTTACAAAATTTGAAGTTAAATGAAACAGTAATTTTCTTAGTAATCTTGTCTTCATATAAAATAAACACTCACTTATATATTACTAGACAAAATAAAGATATTATCAGGAAGTCAATAACATGACAACATCTCATACAACCAGCTTGTGATGATAAAGAAATGAGTTACCGATATGTGAAGATACTATCTAACACAAAGTTAAATTTTAAACTACCAATTATAACATTAGACTTGTCATAAGAAATCATTTAATTGATATTTATGTCGATTAGAGTTAAAAACCAAAAACACTGTAAGAAAAAACACACTGATACGATACTTTCTTTTGGCTTATTCACAATAAATCTTGACTGTTTTCATTGATTATGCTTATTTATTATTAAAAGGCGATAAACTATTGATTAACTGACAATTGCATTGAATTTTATAGATGTATTATCTTACGATTACAATGTATACAGTTCAATTATTTTATTGCTTTCATTGTGAAATTTTTATTAAAAATTAGATCAATAGTTAATTTTCCAATCGGATAAGTACTTAGTTAACAAGCAGGGAGATTTAGAGTTAAATATGATGTTAGGTACTTCTACTGGTCAAAGAATAATTCTGACTGATGAAATTTAACTGCTGCTTTAAAATAATATCACGAATAGAGGATTAATCTCTGTTGCGGATCGTAGATCCCTGGAAGTGGCTGGATAAACCTCTTAACTTTGTAATTTATTTTTCGGAAGGTCAAATCTTATTTTCGTGCCGAAAGCTCCCGTCATTACATTCAGTTCATGTTTACCACCTGGAGGGATCTTAGATTTCATTGGTTAGTTTTCTCTTTGAATATGCCATTTCGTAAATCTTCTGATGTCACTTTTGTATACTACATAAATTACACTTGAATCGAATACTGCTTAATTTGTTCGCCGCGGGATGATTGTGAATTATACAATTTTCCTACTGGCCTTAGACTTCTGGCTCTGGTTAGTTGGGTTGGGCAGAAGATAATAGAAAAGCGGCCCTGTTGTTGTGTAACTGGCTTACATTCCGATCACTGATACCCGGTCGTATCTTAATTAGCGCAAGCATAGCAACCGCTAATGTCTTTGTGATCATCTTTACTGACATTTTATGTATCACAGTTTATTATAAATGTCAACAAACATCTCCATCAAAGGTAATATAGACAAGTAATAAACTGAAAAAATTTTATTATGAGGTGTCAATATCAATGCGTGAAACTACACCAGAGACCAAGAAATAGTAGGGACAAGTCCATGCACTTCATAAATTATGCTTAAATCTAGTAAATTTGAAAGAACTGTTATGTTTACCCATAATTCTGTTAACGAAACGTTCAGACTATCTCCTCATTCTGTAGAACTTCAAGATTATTTTTACTCAAATGAATACTCTCTAGTTCCAGTAGTTTAGTGAACAAATTCATATAACTCTTTAGAGTTCACCATTATTTAACCGGTAGGAGTAGTGAATTTTTCAATTCACTTAAAGATAAAAATTTGAGTCTTATTTGAACATATATATTCCTCATACATTTTCTTCAAATATTCGAAAATTAAATTGCAACAATATGTAGTTTGTGTTTGAAATTACTACTACTCTTAATAGAATATAATTATTTACTTTGTCAGTATCTCGTTGAACTCACGACAAATTACCAACCAACTTGTAGATGTGTTGCTCATTCAATATTCTAATATGTTCTAAAGAAATAAACCAATCCAACACTGGACAATAATTGATGATGTTTAGTTATCATTAAATAGATTTAACTTGCAAATGGTTCAAAAATTACCACGCTAAATAATAATAATGTTTATTTGAATAAGTTTAAAAAACAAATCGCAAAATAGAAAAAAATCTTTTTATAAATATCTGTGATTATGAGAACATACGAACGTGAAGCTAATTTACATTGTTGTTCCTACTGAGAATGATTGCCATCAATTCTGGATGTACTGGAATTCAGATTGTTAGCTTCAGGTGTCACTGATTCTACATCTTTATTTACATAGTCTCTGAAATGAAGCGTTAATTATTAGAATTCAAACTTCGCAAAGTAAATAAATTTATAAATTTATATACTACTAATTAGTAGCTAAATCAAATAAAGAAAATATACAAGACAAACATCCCAGTTTTCACATTAAACGAAATTGTTGAGAATTTTCATGAATTTTAGCACCGACATAATTTGATTGTAGATAAAAGCTAAGCACTCGCTGCAAAACCTGAAGGTTTTGGATTCGATGCTTCATAAGATCACGGGTTCACGCCTTCAAAGAAACTCATACAAGAACGAAACACCTGTTAATTGGTTAAAATTTTTTAATAGGTGTATCACTTACGTCAGTTCATGATCTTAATAAAACTGGATTTTTATTGTTTCATTAAATTCAGTTGAATTTGTGATCTATGAAACGTTTAAGTGATCAGTAGAGTAGCTGAGCAACTTAAAACAACCTACTGTTAAAAACTAAGATATCTTTTTCTCTAAACAACTTTTTGAGTGCACTATTAGCTTTCAAACAAATCGGAAGACAATTAGAAACATCAACATTTGCTTGCATTCTTTTTCGTGCTGAATTGATGTTTCTGCTCTGACTTCCTTATTCACCATATCATTATAGTCCTAGAAGCTGGATTCCCTGTATGGTTTCCTCCAACTGATGGTGTATTAAATAATCTTTGAACAGAATTCTTCTCCCCAATATTTCCATAAATATTACTAGTGGATAATTTCCTATTCATTATACGTTGTTCGAAATAAAAATCAACATATAGAAACTTTAACCATTCGCCTTACTTGTATCTCCATGAAAGTTATAACACTTAGAAAATATCACTTTTCCACACATCTTATCTGACACAATACTACTTGAAATATTTTTAAGAGAAATCATTCATTGTCTTTACGAGTAGTTCACATAGTTCTTAAATCATAGAAACAGATGTTTAATCTCATGAGGAAATCTTCAGCAGCGAGTCCTCTTAGACTTTAAGTCTTCACCAGACAACTATGCTTATTTATTACTGAGTCAAGACCAGACAATTAAAAATGTTTAAATTCCATTCAATTCCCAATATTTTCAATAAATTTGAATCTCAATTTCAGCTTGAATGAGAGTTGGTCACTAGAAATCATAAAATGCCTTTTCCGTTATTATCACACCATGATAGAAGCTACTTTCATTCTTGTTCATACAACTTAATTTCGGTTATAGTAACAGCACAATCAATTCAAATGTAATAATAATTACTTGAAATAAATTGTTCCATCACCATATTTGTCCAGACGCTGTTGTAAGTCGTTTATTTGTTCATATTTATAATTCACTCCTATTGTCTTATTAATAAATAAAAAAAATTTTTGTAATTTTATTTCTAACAATGCAGAAAGTAAAACTCAACTCAATGCAATTAAACTTACCATATTTATTTTCAACTAATCATCCAACAATATAAGGATGACCATTCAATCGTTTAGTTATAAGTTACTTAATCTAGTTTAAATTGTATTGATTGATTGGATTTTATAGATTCTTACCAAACCATGGTTTGTTTCGGTAAAGTTCGAAGGGTGATTTAGAAACTTTTAAGAGATTACACTATATGTGAGTGATAGCTATTGATTCCAGCCTAAGGATAATGAATATTTCTCATGATGATCTGGTATACTAATCTTTATAATGAATATTAAACCAGTGAAATCTTTTGAACACTGGACAACTCTGATATAAATTTCGAACTCATTATTGATGCATGATATTTTTCCACCATTGATATAGAAGGCAGTAGTTTGCATTTTTCATCTGCGGTTGATTGATCAGTCCGTCAGTTACAACACAGATCTTCGTACATGAGTACTTAAGCTCAGGTTGCCATACCCCAATATCAAAGAGATGCAACTGTCATTACAAACACAATAGTGGTAGATAAAGTAGGAGTATTAACAGTAATGAGAAGGAATAGAGTTCGAAGGTATGATTCGAGAAGTATAATTCAGTGAGATAACTTTGGAAAGGGAAAGATAGAAGTGATGAGGAATTCAAGAGATTAGAATTTTAGAGAACACAAGGAGTGGATGCATCTGCGCCATTGTAAACGATTTTGAGCCATGTCGTTCGTCTTGCGGACCACAACCAGGTAGCTTACATCTACCGACATGATTCAGTCCACTGGTCAGTGATTTCATGGGTTTCTGCCATGTTTTGGTTTGGCCGCCCCTAGATTTTTTCAACCTGCTCCTACACCACAAAACATAGCTCGACGAGGCAGTTGGTGGTTGCTCATTCGTTTCACATGTCCCAACCACATCAACTGATGGAGTTTCAGTACTTCATCTATTGATTTGCTATCCCTACCGAGCAGCCGTTTCCTAACGAGCTCTGAGCCTAATACTACGATTCTTCCTTGTTTATCTTAACTTTCATTAAATTTCAGGCTTATGATAACGGCAAAGTATTATTAGTGATTTTCAACTAAATTTAAGATGCACTGAAAAAAATGACAGATGAACCCAATGTCTTGATAAACAATGAATCACATTTCATGTGAGTGAAAAACTGAATGGTAGGACTTTTTGTTTCACTGCCTAATAGCTTGAAATAGTTATTTATAATCTGATTACTTTTTACCAAAAGTAAAGTGTTGATAAATAATTATTGACCTAATAAAACCATATAACTCCCCAATATAAAATAACCTACTTTCAATGCCTCAATGAATTGTGAAACACTAACAGCTCCTTTTTTATTCACATCCATATTCTCGAGTACATTGGTAAATATTTTTCCATTATACTTTATTTGACTTTTAAGAAGAAATAATAAGTCAACAAATGTACCACCTTCTGATTGCATATCATCTTGTGTATTGCCTACAATCAATTGTGGTCCATGAGTAATAGACAATTCAGTGAAAGTTTTCTTAAGTAATTCAACTAATTGCATACATTCAAAATCAACTGGAATATCCTGAAATGTTAGGAAAAGAATATTTATCCGTATGAACGTGCTTTTGTTTATATATTGAAATAAAATACAAAATTTTATAAGTAATGCTTTACTTGACTCTTTTTTTCATATGAAAGAAGGTTCTTTCGCTAGAGTAGCAAGTAATTTAGTTTTATCATCATTTTAGGCCCCACATCAGTGTATATACTATAAGCGACTGGGTATAGATATTAAGATCCACAGGATGGGCAAAAAGTACTCAATCTTTCATAAGATGAGTAGGGATACAGTGATTAGTATTTCATAGACAGGTCTTCATTTAGTTTAAAAAAAGAGTCCTGAATTCGATAAATTTTCCACAAATAATCATAACCGAAAGAAAATATTTGCCATCTGTACAATGCATCCTTCAAATCCAGTTCTACTACAGATAACTTGTAAAGTCGTATACAGAAGTAACAAAGGGAATACTATAAAATGTAACTAGATGGTAGCTACAACATATTTTTAAATGAATGAATCTGAATGATATGAACAGTAGAGTTTCAACACGGTGAGTATTGAATAAGTAGATTGTCTAGACATCTCAAAGTGAATACTCGGCTGAATATTCTATCCAAAACTTCATAATTTCCAGTTAACAATCATCCTAAATATAAATACTATTTAAAAAGTTGATGAAAAGTAAGTATCAATAAACAAACGTCCGAAACATTAGTTGGAAACTCTAGTTTCTACGATCGTTTTCTAGGATTTGGAATTTTATCATATCATTAAATTAAATTCCCCGTTTGATATATCAAGCCTGTTTGTTCTGAAATGCATAGTATTATTCTAAAGTTAACAATAATAATAATAATAAGATTTACATTCAAGACAGATAAATGAATACAGATGTGTAATATTGCACTTCATTAACGAAAAACACTAACAAAGCCTTTTGTATGTACATGCGCTGCTCTAAGTGGTTACATTCACATGTGATAACTATCGGTACAGCTAAAACATTCAATATACGAAGTGCTTTTTTTCTTTAATCAATCTTTCTATACATTTTATAGCGTAAATTCATTTACAATACTTACAGTTAATTATTTATGGTTTTGTGATGTACTACTAGCAATATAAAAAGTAGTAAGCATAGTAAATATTAAAGTACTACCTCCATCATTAACTTTTCTAGTTTCATACTCTGACTATTAGAAAGCTGTTTAAAAAAATTATACATTCCCTTTGTACTGATTGGATTACTGCTAACATCCAAAACTCTTAACTTTGTCTCGCCTGAATCATTCACTATACATATCGCTTGACCGATAGTTTCAATTTCTTTGTCAGTTATTCGGTTATATTTCAAATACAATTCTTCTAGTGTTGTATTTTCTTTGATTATTTGTGCAATTTCCAATCCAGATATGCCACAAAATCCATTCCATGATAAATAACAAATTTTGATACGAATATTTTCCTGAAAGATGAAAGTAGATGAATAATAAATTTTTTGGGTTCACCGTAAATGACGATATAAATGTAGTTATTTAACTATAATCGGTGTAATTAAATTATGTTATCAGTAATAAAGAAAATATTCAAAAGCCGAATGATTTGAAGACGCCTTCTTAATTGCCGTGCATCTTTAATCCTGACGGAACTCATGCTACCTATAAGACTTGATTCTTATTCATCCTGGTTCGTAGTCTGAGATGAAAACAGTCAATAAACTTAGAAAGTACAGTATACTTTGGTGGATATCGGTTTTTTTTTAGATTACAGGTATGCTCAAAGTCCTAATGTTTTGTGTGAACTACCTCCAACCACATCATATCTTAACACAGTGTTTGCTATGTTGAGTCACCAAGATTAATAGCGGAAGTATCACTTGATTCATCAAAACAAACATTAGTAACTAATCAATAATCAATTGATCATACAGATTAATAATTTATTGGTAGTTGGTATGTATTTAAATTGACAGCTATTCTCAAGAAATTATTCTCTCTCTCTTCATCATGGTGAAAATTTAGTAAATTTCGAACAGAGAAGACAATTAGTTACTCATGCATGAATTGATCTCTAATTTCCAGTCAAATAAGTAGAATATGAGTAAAACTACTAAAGAATTTAGAGAATTATTTATATTAGTACAGTGGATTTTCGGAGATTGTAGAATTTTCAACATACCATCATGAGCTGATTTCATCTCGGTGGCCTAAAGCTAGTTGGTTGCGCAAAAAATCGAAGGTCTAGAGTTCAATCCCCAGACACAGAGCCAAAGATACTCACTACTGATGAAACAATCATTCCACACTTCCAGACTTTCAGTAGTGATCCAGCTAGTATCAGTTGGTGAAATAAAACTATGAAAAGTAATTTTATGTTTATGTTTGTGTAAATTATGAACACGCAGTTATAAATTTTGAATCCAAAATGAAGACTAAACTGTACATAATGATTTTATACTTCTTTTCTGGAGTTTTATCCTATTGACTGAACAGAAACATCAATACTTATTTGAAATTAGTTTTTTTAAATACTGATTAGAAAACCGTGTATGCAATATCTCAAAAGAATAGATTTATAGTTAAAAGTTTTGGCGACAATGCAGAAACTAACAACAATTCTTTTTTCATCAAACGTTTTTATATGGTCAGTTTATGGCAAGGATAACAAATAACATCTAAATGTTATATATGCTTTTGATATACCTTTAATCCTATTGCAATATCCAGAGCACCTTTATTAGTAATCGAATTCCATGAAAAATCTATTTTCAGCAATGTATCATTTGAACTAATTGCATCACCGAGAAGTTCAGCACCATCAGAACCGATTTGATTTCGAGCCAAATTCAAATTCTTCAAAACACGATTCATCTAGTTACAATAATTTGATCAAAATTTACTAATTGTTGGATTCAACGAAAGTATGATATAATTTTATTACTTCACGTCATTAAGATAATTTTGAATTTAAGTGAAGTGATCATAATTTTTATACTGATTAAGATTATTGCTATTTCTGCCTGTCCATCACTCCATAATCCATCAATTTCTATGATGAGTAACTGATAAAAACCTTGTATATAATTCAGCTTTTATTCTCTGGTGCTATTTCAAAAAAACCAGTGGTTCTAAAATTGTTATCGTTTGAACTGAATAAGTCATTCTGAACAAGTGAGGATACAAAAAATCCATCATCTAAATTATTTGAAAGCGTTAACTGATAGACAAAATGAAATATTTTGTGCTTGAACATGTAAATGAACAGATAACTTTGAAAGTGTGACGTTCGTAACAGTTTACTGAGATCGACATAACTATTTGAAACAGAGATGTTATAGAACATTTGTTTCATTATAACAAGAAGGATCTTAGTAGTTTAAATCACAGCCCCTTACGGGAACATTCTTGAATTTATGATTTAGTATCCAGTAGTTTATAATTCTAAATGATGATGAAGATAATCCCCAGTATCTCCTAGTATTCAACGGTTAATCCACTAAGATTAGTCCATAATGGAAACTATGTACGCAGCACTCGTGAATGTTATTTGGTCTTTGCTATACATTCAGTAAATTACACAGGAAGTTCTCTAAATCTAGAGCACATATAGGACACTTCAAAAATATTGTTACTATTGACGTCGAGGAGAGAGCAATACTTTTAGACATTCCTGCTTGAAATACGGCTTGTCTCATTTAGTCCTCTAATTAAAAGACTAAATACAAATGGTCAAATTTTAAATCCTGACACTAAAGAGGATATATGTTAAGCAATTAGAAACTTTTTTTGCATACACGTGTAACCTTTGTATTTTAAACATTGTTACCCTATATTTTTCATACATTATATCTGATGTTACATTAAACGCTTTCATTCATGATTTCAATGTAAAACAATCATCTCCATTGAAACTATGACACAAAAAAAGCTTTTGTCATTAAAACACCAACAATGAAAATCTTGTTGCCCGCTGCAAAACAACAACAACAAGTGTATTGAACACTAGAAATCAATTCATTATCACACAACTAATACTACCATTTGAAATTTCAATGTTTCTGAACTTATTATCAATTCAAAACAAAACAAATACTGTGTACTTTTAAAATGTAAACTTAGACTCTTATTTTGATAGATTATTTACACTGTACAGTATCATTTTTTAAATTCTTCTTCTTCTCTTAATTCAATCATCAATAAATCGATTTTACGCATTATATATATACTTCACTTGGACCAGGTTATAAATCTATATTGTTTAAGACCTATATGATTCGGGTTAAATATAAACATGAACATAAGAATAATGCATAAGATCACAACTTACAGTTAAAATTTCAGCTAACATACTACAAGAAGAATCTCCTAAATCACAACCTTAAAGAAAAAATAAAATTTATGAAAGATTATGATGTGCAAAACAATATCAGTTTTGATAAATAAACTTAACGTCAGGTTATACAAATTCCTGCTGAGATAAAATGTCAGCAAAATAAGTAAGTAAAGTAGCAAGCTTTGTTACACACAGTCTAATTGTTACCTAATAGAAACATATTATTTCATGACTACAGTTATCGATGCATTATTCTTCCATTTTAGTCTGTTGCTGTATAAAAGACATTTAGTTGAATTACTCTTGTGTTAGCTTAGACAGTACATTACCTTTTCACTGGTCGATTATATGGGCGTACTATAAATCACTTTGCCTATATACAGAAATCAATAACTGAAAATAAGACAGACAGTGTATTACTACTTTTATTTGTGGAGTTGATGTAATAAAGTTCCCGAGTAAAAGTTATAAATAACTTATTTCAAAATGAATAATGTTAGAAATATTTTTTGGTGTTATGTAGCATGTTCAAAATAGTATTTAAAAATCCATAAAAGACATAAAGAGCAAATAAGCCAAAGTAGAAATATTTTTTTCAAACTTCCGACCAGATTTTACTGCTTTTGATAATGACATTGAATATTATTTGCTAAATAACTATGAAAATGTTGTACAAATTTAATGAATGATATTATCAAAAAAACCTTTTTCTGCACTAAACTGTCCTTATTTGACTTGATGACACAGTGAGTTCCTTAATTTTAAGATTGTATATAAGTTGAAGATAGTCAACTAAATACAAAATCGTTGTAGTTCATTTTAATGCCAGAATTGATCTCTACTAACTTAAGATTGGAAGGAAGTATTCAGCATCTGATTAAGTTCTTTTAAACAAAAATGGATCTATAGAGACATTTTTGTTGCACAATTCAAAAGTCAATATATTATGAATAATTTGGAGTCAAGAAATCGATAAAAGCGAGAGTTTATCAAGAAGTAGTTGGTCTTAATTTGCGACTTTTCAGTAATATGAAACTATTTACTCACACACCTAGGAATTTCGTCAGTTAGTAAGGCATTTGAGATTCAATGATCCAACATCATTCAGTTGATGGAAGATTTGAATGCTTATCAAATTGTAATGATGGTCGTGTACTTCTGATAGGCATCAAGTCATTATTGGTTTTTAATGGTTCTTTAAATGATACTAATCCTTAGTTTTAACGCCATTCGTTATGCATGATAATAACTAGTAATATTTGCTGGCAAAAGCAGTCAATACAGTTTGATTATAAACCATCTAAATGCAACACTTACTGTGAATTCTATACTGAAATCATTTATAAAATAAAGATTTCTTACATTACAATAAAAACAAGACTAAATGATCGTAAGTCAATCAAATTATTCCATCAAACTCTAGTATAATAGAAAAAACCGGATCAATACTTATGTAATGAAAGGAATTGGTAAAATACTGAAAGAATTATTACTCTTAGTGAACTAATTATATTTAAATCAATAATTAAAATAAAATTTGATGCGTGATAAACAATGGTGTAGACTCTCATACAGACAATTAATTTGATCAAGTTAGACATTAACACCGTTAGATACCAGCTCAGTGGTCTAACGGTTAGGGCGTTCGCGCACAATACCGAAGGTCCTGTGTTCAAAACCTACGGGGTGCAGGAGTCGTGGATGCGCACTGCTGAGGAGTCCCATACCAGGACGAAACGGCCGTCCAGTGCTTTCAGGTTTCTAATGGTGGTCTAACATTGATCGATTCATGGTTTCGAAAATGTATAACTTAACAATCTTCAAAACCCCGTAATGCAAATTAATTTAGAGACTGGTTTTAACTGCTATAACGTTATAACAACACACTTCCTGTGTTATATATATATATATATATATATATATATAAATATATATATGTCATTGCCATCAGTGTACGTCATGCTCTACCATTCAGAGAAAATATTCAGTTTAAAATAAAAAGATTTGCATAAAAGTTGTTCGACAAATTTTACAAGCTGAAATTATTTTTCAATTGCTAATATTTACTTGTTTTTTTATATCAACAAATAAAATATGGTCTATAGTTTATGTCTTTTGGTATACGATATAAATTCATTAAAACACAAAAGTAGATGTTATTTATTGGCAAATATTGAGTGTTTATTTGTTGTAAGTATGGATACTATTTCATGACGATTACATGATTAATCGTTGGTTTTTTATTATTCACTAAGACCATTAAGGATATATCTACTCACGCACATTTGAATACTGATCTATTTGAATGTAGAATATTCTTTTCAAAATATTCACTTCTTGTGATACGATTACATTTCCAGTAATAATTCAAATAATGGTCAATTTTCAAGTAAAATACATCGTTTCATATGAATTTAGGATTGTTTGTAATATAAAATGAAACTGTTAGTATGTAAGATGACTAGAATGAAACGGTAATTTGAATAAGTTTATATATGTTGAACGAAATTGTAAGACTATTACTCAAAATAAAAATGATTCAGATAGGGTGAGAGAACTAATAGTGCAATTAAAAATTCGGTTAACGGACGCTTAATGGACGACTAGATTGTAACATCAAGTTATATGAGTTGAATTGGAAATAATAAAGCAGTATGAGTCACAAGTAATTCGATCATCTGTTCAAGAGATTATTAGTGTTCCTAAACCAATAATTATAATATATGGATATGTGAATACAAAATAACAGAGGCAATAATATTTCATTGAAATCACGAGTAAAATTAGGCTGAGACATAACTGAAAACCTGCAAGTAGTGTACGACATACTCATCCCAATATAGGACTCCTCAGTATTGTAAATCCATGATTCTGAACGCAGAAATCGAACACGAGATCTTCTATCCCGTACACGAACGCTTCCAGGTTGATAAATATGAATAGTGTTTTCTATGCACTCAATGGTAACACCGAGAGTGAAAGATGAATTATTTAGAATGACTATATTGTTTTGCACTCATCAATTCGACTGCTCTTGTCACTTGTTTAGGTATTAATTCTCGATATGGAAACAACTTCTTATTTGCCACCTTTGTAATCATCTAGGTTAGTTAGATGGTTACTGTTCTGGTTCTTATAACATTTTTGTTTTTTCCATCACTGTTACCTTCTAGATGATCTCCGACCTTCGGTAAATAGCCGGACTAAAAAGCATAGTCAACTAACGGTGAATTGATTAGATAAACTCAGTTGGTCAGAGAGTTTCGATGCTTGTCATTCTTGTAATCGATATCACGGTAGATAAAGATACTTTAAATATTTATAACAACCCGTAATGATAAACCAAAGTTTGAAATAGTTCCCTCTACACTTACTCTAACTGTTACAATCAGAAATATAAAGCATCCAGAATAGCTTTTTCAACAAACTTACATCAATTAGAAAACCTTTAAAAACTAAGGAGCATTTATCTAAACAATTCAGTTGTATCTACTCATATCCCTTCAAAAGTTTAAGTTCAATATCTGACATAAAACAGAACTGATACTTTCAAACGATCAACTAAGGATTCGAATGATTTTATTTCCAACTTAAGTGAATTCACTATACAAAGTGATGATCATCTAGTGTTTTCAATAATATTTGTTCCACTCTCATTACAACTGAATGTTAATAGTCACAATATTATTAATAGATAAACGGACATTTCAAAGTTAGTTACTAGTGAGAACAAAATTAAGGTTTTTCGTTTTTGAAAGAATGATCAATTCAGTGCTTTTTCAGGTAAATATATTAAACTATTTTTAATTTGAACTTCTCAACTGGTCGAAAATTCATCTTAAACAAAACTTTTTGAGAAGATTAAAATCTTAGTTGGAGATTGAAAACTGAAAAATCGAAATATTTAAATAATGATCTTACAGCAATGTAATCAATAAATAAAAGCTATCCAGGGTCTCAACTTGATGTTATATATATATATATATATATATATATATATATATATATATATATATATATATATATGTAGAAAGATAGATAGATAGATAGATAATCAATTACAAATAAAGTAAAATCAATTGTAGTCTAATTGTTAAGCGCTTTTTACGAGCATTAATGTCTTGGGTTTGTGTTGATAATAGTGAACACTTGTTGAATTTTGCGGTTGGCCTAGCGAATAAATGAGAACCTTTTAATATGAATGCGAACGATCATCAGTTAGAAGAGATCAGATATCTCCTCGACAACCAAACTTCTATGTTGATAAATCATACGGTAATATTCAATGATATAAAAGATACTTTCGGTTAAGCTTCATATTCTGAGCAAAATAAAAAACCGGTAAGGGGTCAATTTTGTTCATTTCGTTATCAGCAATGACATTAAAATACATAACAATGTTTGTAAACTAACAGTTATAACAACGGATTAGATGATAGCTAAGATCATTGCTGTGATCAAGGTCGAACTTTTACGCAACAACTCAGTCACCTACAGTGTTGCAGATTCCCATTGCTGAGGAATCTCATACTGTGACTACATGCATCTTGGTTTTCAAAGATTTTATAATTACACTCAGTTCATGATGTAGACCATGAATAAATTAATCAGAATAAAATAACAAAGTAATCACTCTACAATCATTATCATTTATAATCTGTTTTCACAACATTTTAATTAAAAATAATCATGCAATGACCAAATATTTCAATTCATCAATAGTAAAGTTTAATTAAATTTGTCCCTAAAACAGAAAGATAAAAGATTTTCGACTATAAACAACCATAGCAATGAGATTAGCAAAGAAAACTTTAGCTGAATGGATTAATTTTAATTAAAACTATACAGAATAAATTATTTATCAAAATCCAAATTATTTGATGAATACAATTAGCTAATACTTGCTCAGAAATCTTATTTCTGACATTTTTGATAGTAAAAGATGTTGAGACAAATAGAGAAATGGTGAAGCGAAAATAATTAGTACGCCAACTGTAATAATTATTCATTAAACATTTATTTAATGAAATCAAGAATCAATCACTGATAGACGTCCATTAGCAAGCTCGAAGCATTGGACGACCGCTCCGTCCTAGTATGGGACTCTTCAGCAGTGTGCAACCACGAACCCCAGCAGCGAGAATAGAACAAAGGACTTTTGGTCACGCGCACAAACGCCTCACCTCTAGACCAGTGAGCCAGCATTTAACTATGTTAATGTCTAACTATGATCAATTTAGGGTTTTGTGCAACCTCATCCACTGTCTTCGGTAGTCACTACCTACACCGGACAGGGTTGAACTTCATTTCAGAAGAGTCCTATACTAGGATGAAACGGCCGCCCAGTGCTTCAAGGTTTCTACTGCTGGTCTAAAAATGACTGATTAGTGATTTCAATGAAAAACGATGATCTCCATAACTCTAAAATGAATATTTTAAAATATTCCCACTCGGCTTAAACTGTTTAAGTATTTTCAACTAGGTGATATATATATATATATTAGGAAACTTTGTATTAAAAATATCTTAGTTATGTACTAAGTAAGATTTATAGATTTTGGTTCAATGTGATCATATATTTTACTCATGCAATCATTGGCAACATTATTTCAAATAATGACCTGGGTACAAACACACCCAATTTTATGGTTTTCTAACTGAAGGCTTGAGCAAGGAGGAACATCCTAGGCTTATAGAAACTTTGGTAGATACAACAAACGCTCCAGGAGGATCCCAATAATTGGTCAACCTAGAAATTCACTCAATATCAAGACATTTGCTTTCATTCTAATCTTACAGTTACTCAGTGGCTATCCCGTTAGTTTGAATATAAATCTTATTATGAATTATTGTCATCTGAAGAAATTCCTGCTCGAACTACTCTGTAGACAATGTAAAGTGACTAAGGGGAGTTGAATCGAAACCCTGAACGACTTAGGTCTATTGCTGGTTTACACTCATCGACAAGACCTGCCAAAAATCTTAAGGTAATTTTTGCTCCTATGTTGATAACTTAGTTTTACTGTCTGACAAGTTATCATTGTTATATGCCCTTAACGTTTGACCTCTACGAGAGTGAGATATTTATTTCGGTTGGTAACTAAGTCAAGCCCAATATTTATGTTTACCCATCCCTTAGCGTTGATTAGCTTTCATCGATCAACAGTAAATAATGGTTTTGAAAAAAACTATATATCGAGCCCATATGGCTCGTGCCAGCCTTTGAACAAACTAACTAATCGATTCTTCATGAGTTATCCACACGTCTTGCGACTTTGTCTGTTATTCCACTCATATCCTCAGTTGTCTTTATTTGTGTTTGCATGTGTACACATGTTTTCTTCACTTATTACACGTCCATCTTATTTCTGACTGACTCTAAATACTTAGTCATGCTTCACTGCATTGAATTGGTTCATTCGCCTTCTCTACTTCCCTTCACTTTACTTTTACGCTTTTTATTCTCATGTCTGTCTGAGTGAACGACTGCATGAAAAAAACTCATCCCATTGAATCCACACCTAGGTACTTATTACCACTATCTCATAAACGTGATCCACCTAAGTGTGACACACGGAAAGTGAAGGTTAGATTCATTTCATAGGATACCCAATCGTTTGTATAAATTGGAGTCAGATAGTGAGCCACTAAAAATTATTACAATATACATCTACATTTTTAGAAATATCCTTATCATTCATTTTCAGTCACTGGAAACATTGAAGTGAGAAATAAAAACTGGAAACAATTCTAATCATCATCATTATCATCATCATCATCATCATTTTTATTGTTGTCACAATTCTCTTACCTGATAAATCTAGAGTTTTTATAGTAGCATTCCTTATCAAACCATTGTACAATTGCATCAGACCATCTTTGCGTAATTTACATTCACTTAAAAGCTTTGAATAAAATGGTATACATAGAATATAAATTAAAACTAAGCATTATATATTTTAAAATTATTCACCTGTCTATATATCAAATGAATAACAATAAAAAGGGGAATTTAGATAATCAGCTGAACTTGACTGGTCGAATTATGATATTTTGTTTACTTGACCTGCAAACTTATTATTGCTTTGACAAACCTTTTAAATTGTTTTCGTCCCTAACGTTTGACCGAATTCACGTGAAAACTACAAAACATCAATCACAATTAGGTTTTAGCAACAGAAACTTTCAGTCAGCTCTAAATCCTTATTTCTCTCTACTCTACTTCTTAGTCGAGAAATCCACAGATAACTCTCCATATAAAAATTATTATATTTTAGGAAGATTTAGTTTACATCTAAAACATGTACGATATCACAAAATGAGAAAATACATTTACACACGAGTAAGCCAAAAGTTGCGATGATTAGGTGAGTTTGTAAATGACAAACTGGCAAAAGATTGGGAATTGTAAATCATACAAAGTTATTGAATGAGTCAAACAAGAGGTTATGACTAAAAGAATATAAATAAATCTAATGGTCTACTTATACAATAAAAAAATATATGTAATAATAATAGTCCATAAGTTAGTCCAGAGAGTTACCAATCCTCCAATCTTCCTTTGTATATAGCAGTTTTTGTATGAAGGTTTATTCCTAAATTTATTAAAACAATGTTCCCACGTTACTTATATCACAAACTAACACTATCTAAAGTCCCACTGAAGTAACACGAAGACCTCGTCAACTTTTTCGTTTTACCATGAGACTATTTAATGATCCGCACCCACGATCACATCTAAGTTTTGACACTTCACCTTACGGTCTCGTTATATGGATTGGGATTCGGTAAAGCTACATAGTACTATTGTAGTGAAGGAGAACACAGGTGAGTACAACCGAATTGTATTTATCGCAAATTACTGAGTTAATTAGTAAAATAGGAAAACCGTATCGTAAACGGTTAATTTGCAAATCTTCAATCCATCATCAATCCATTATCTGACATTTCACTATTCATGCGTTTCATACAAATTTCATTGTGTTCCCACTCTTCCTCTCTTGATCTTCCCCCATCTACTGCTGCCAGACATTACGTTTTCACTCGCGTCATATACTACTTATATGTAGCGCGCACCACACTATCACATTTCAGTAATACGAGAAAAGATCTTGAATTTTCCCCTAACTCTTTATTAGGTGACAAATACATACAGTCTAAACCACGAATCAATCGCTAAATGAGTAACGGAAATCAAATAATCACATTTGCAGTTGAGTGATCCATATTTAAAACTCCAGTCAATTTGTGGTATTTATTTCATTGCATACTCCGCAGTTTGTTCAAACTGGAGTCAGTATGCGGGCCACTAAACTGGTGAGTTCTAATTTGAGTTCATTACAACCACTAAAACTGTAGAGATAGCGCATATGATGATGATTTTGACGTAACTGTGACTTATTGGTCAAACTTCCTTTACAATTTTCATTCTTATAAATTATTTGCAAAACTAATAACATCCAACAGCTTAAAACACTGAAGCATGTTGTTTTTTAGCGAATATTTTGAGTAGAAGCATGTCATTTTGTTTGATGAAAAACCTGTTTTAATAGGCAACAGTTTCTCCTATAGTCATCGATCAGTCGCATCGTATGATTGTACTCATCTGTCAATTGGAGTTCTGTTTATTCATTTTGATGATACACAACTCATTCATGATTCATTTATCCTAACACACGACCTAGATAGTCTCATAGTTTTAAAGCAGTCGATAAATTACTTACCAATGTTTGTATAAAAGTGTTTTCTTTGATGACTTTTGATAAAAATGATAGACTGCTAAGTTCCAATACATTATATGATAAATCTAACCATGTGACCGTTGTATTATGCTAAAATTAAATAAACAGAAAAAAAAACTATTACAGGAAGTCGTAATAATTCGTAATATGCATCTAATACTTAATTGACTTACATAATGATAGTTGAAAATTTCATAAAAAGTTAAACAAATGTTAAACAAATTTGTCCATTTCAACATTTACAAAACAAGCCAATCTAGTATCACAAAAAATTCTGATGTAACAATAACATAGTTCACATCACAGTTACTTTGACCTTAAAAATAAAATATGTCTATTGAAATCTATCTATACCTAACTTTTTTTTCCCTCCCTCTCTCTCCCTCTCTCCCTCTCTCTCCTTTCTCTCTTTTGTTTTCTGTTAAATCAATACAATTTCCATTCACTCGAAGTTGGCCATCTCATTTTCCTACTTTCAAATTCATCATTGTTTGTCATCAATAACCAGCTACAGTTCGTTTCCATAGTTAATTGAAACAATTACCAATGCTATTAATCTAAATTTGTGTTGAGGTGAGTGATAAAGTTATTTATTTAGCAAAAAAATCTTCATTCTATCGCTTCTGTAGCGAGACAATTATAAACAGAACGATCGATTGATTTGTTTTCAATTCCATGTCAGAAGAAATTCCTAGTGAATTTTTTACAAAACTAAACTAACGCGTCAAATGTCAACACATTAAAGACTTTATTTAGGTCAGAATCAAAAATGAAACAAAAGAAGCATCAAGTAAACTACTGTTTTAAGTATTAGTTATTAAAACGATTTAAAAAAAAAAAGTAACTCAATCATGTTTACTTTCCGACATTAAATGGAGAAATCTGTTAAACCGGAAGAATAAAATGATTAAAGAAAATGTTTAAAGAAACAATTTCAGGATATTTAATTACTGTCATAATTGAGTATACTTGTCAATCTTCTCTTCATGTTGATATTTTACACTTGCACTTTTAATAGTTCATATTAAACCTTTATCTCTCATCTCATTCACAATAATGAATGGGTTTAAACACAATCTGTCTAAATTAACGGATCATAAAATAATCAAATACATATAGAATGACAAATCTATCACAGTAATTTTATTGTTGTGATTGTTCTGTGACCTGTGTTTTGTCTTTTCCGCTATGGTTTTAGATGATATCAGATGCATAAGGCGCAAGTTTTATTTTCTAACGATTTACATAGATCATATTGATTTCTGGAAAAATAACATTTGTTTTAATGCAATAAGGAAAAAGGTTTATTTTCATTACATCTATAAAGTTTGTCTAGACTCTTTTTTCTTGTCGACAAAAAGATAAGAGATGAGAAAACAATTCTTCACTCAGTTTATTTTCATTTATATCAAATAAGCGTTTTGTTTTGTTTTTTTCATCCCTTATAATGATATCGCTTATTTTAGAATTATTATTAGTTAAGGAAAGAAAGCAAATAAATCGAACAAAACGTTTTGTATAATTATCGATCGGCTTTAAGTGTGTTTAGATTTATTTTATCTTATTGTTATCATAGTCAAAATGATATAATGCTTCGAAAAAAAAAAGATAGAGAAAACAAGTAAAGCAGATTAATTAGTCACCTTGAAAAGATACATAAAACTTGTTCGTTTGAGTAAAACCAGACTTGTTTTGTTATGTTATAAGAGCTCACATGTGTGTATGGACAACAATAGTATTACATAAATATTTGATCATTATCACTTAGTTGAGGATTTGCTAAATCATACATTCGTGTTGATTGTTTTGAAATTTCTCTCCATGTAACTTGTATGACAATCATTTCGTTCAATATGTCACTTATCAATTATTAATAATTTCTCGATTGAGTTTTATATGACAGGTGAAAAGATATTGACATTAAACGTAAACTTTACAAATAGTGATTAATTCTCTGAATTGCTTGTTTCTTCAAATAATGAGTAATGTCATTCTATTCAGTCTCTAATATTGGTTGGAATCTATAGAGCAAAGTATGAAACAGATTCATTCAGACTAATATGATGTTTTTTCGTCAAGTATAGGATTTTTAGTAATCAGCAAACTTGAAACCGATTCGAGGCATTGATGAAGCTGGTAAACGTCGTAGTTTATGCTACGCATACGCGTAAACACGTCATTTGATGTGCTTGAATTATTACCAGTTTACCCAAGTCGGAAAACGAGAGTGAGGATCGAGGATCTAGCGATATGACAAGCTATTCTAATCCGATTGTCCCAAACCCTCATTGAGTAATAGAAGAAGACGGAATATGAAGTAGAACATGTATTCTACAAGCATCCAGGAAGTACGAGAATCAGGATCTCGGACTAAGGATCCGCATCCGGGTCCGGGTCATAGAACGTTACAGATAATGCATATTCATACAGTTAGGTCGAATAGGAAACAACAGTGAAGTATGTGACATTGGCAGTTAGGACGACCAGTTGGAAATGATAATCGCCGATCGATTGAAAACCAAGCTATCCATTGTCACAGTCAAATATATTACCACAGAAATGCTCTGGAAATAACCAGCTTCTTATATGACTCAGATAAAATTCAATGAGCATGAAAGAATATACAAACAATGACGTCGATCAATCGCTGTGATATGTATGTACACATATAAAAATATGCATCTATTTTAACAGACCAAGAAGTTATGCTTCTTGCTGCAACAGCAAAATGAAACGAGAACGTTCAAAAACAATTATTCTAACAGACATTATTCTTTCACGATATCTTTGCATTAAAACACTTAAATATCACTTTGTTGTAACATAAATGCCGTATTGTAATCTATCACTGATGTGACATCTCCAATCATGATTTCGTGTTTACCTAAAACAGTTTGATAAAATTACTTAAAATAAATCTAACAAAAAATATTTACGAATGATGCAAAATAAATCCCAGTAGAAAATTATTCAAATGACATTAAAGTTGACATTAATCAGAATACTACAGATCATTTAAACAAACCACAAAATGTCCTCATATGTTATTAATTTTCACATAAAATGTCATTTTACTGATACAACGTAATAATACTAAAAATAACGGAACAATTTAATCAACTGACTCGTAAAGCTTCTGCAATTAACTTAAACTCCAGTGTTCCCAATCCACGATATTGTAAAGTTAATTTTTCTTTACTGAGATTTTCAACAACATATTTCATTGGACTAACTTGATTAACTGCACAAAAGTATAAATAATGTGAGATTCCAATAGTATCATGCTTTAATTGCCCTATTAAAGACATCTTTTGATCATGTATTGAGCTTGGATAACTTTTTCGGTTGTATAACTCAACTTTTACTTCTTTCATTTTCTCTGAACTAGCACAAGATTCCTCTTGATTTTTAAAATGAATCGTTGAGTGTTTTTGGACATCATCATCAATTTTTTCCCTTTTAGAAGATTCCTCATGATTCTGTAAGTCTGCCAATCGAAAATGATTTGTTTCTTGGGACTCAGGATTTTCTATAAAAACAAATAGCAACAGTAATATTGAAAGATTATTTTATTATCAAATTAAAGCTCTGTTAATGTAGTTTAGCAATACGGTTATACAATCATCAAGAACCAGGATCCCCCAGATAACTGAGATGAAATGAAATCACAGTTTGTATATAGCTACAAAACATTGATCATTTGATTCTACATTGAGGATCAAATGTAAACCATCTTTGTTACAGGATTTGATGATTTCGATGATGAAAACTGAAGTTGAGTTCTAATTTAGTAATTAAATGTTCGCTTATTTTTGCTTGGTTTTCACTTTTTGTTTAGATAATATCAATTTGATTTCAAAGTTATAATACCAAAGCACATTTAACTGAATCAAATTCAATAATAAGCCATATTATGTTATAAACAGTCAGTAACTGAAAAGTAATTCATAAATCAAAAGTAAACATCAGTTAAGATAGTTAAAAGAAGTAAGATAACATACACCAGCAACATCCTCCATTATTGTTACCGTTGAGTTAAAGATGTATTAGACCTCACCTCAAAGAGTTAAAAAGTGAGTACTAAGCGAACATAGTTAATAGGTGAAAAATGTCACTGCGTTTTCTAAAGAGTAATTCAAACTCTTTCCATATTGAGCATAGTATTAGAGAAAGAAATATCTCGAAAACAAATCAGCTGAAATTTCAACTAATCCCAAAAGTTAGATGGCACACTCATTCATCAATAAATGCATCAAGTTTCCTTTTAATTCAGTTCTCTCTATCCTGTGTATAAGTTTGTCTGCACTTTCAACAGTGTTAAATTTATTCTTACTATTGGTTGACAAAACCATAGAAATTTAGAGTTCAGAAATACACTACAGAGTACGAGTAATATCAATAACTAAAACCTAAGTTTTAAATATGTTTTCTTTGACGCCTCTACTTGTAACATATAACACAAGTCATTACCTGAATAACTAAATGGATCGTCTCACGAAACCTTTGAGTACGCTATTAACTACTTAATAAAACTCATTTTATTACCATAAGCGTATATTTGACTGAAATTAAGAAAACTTACCATTCTCTAGATTAGTTCCATGATATTCATTTGATTTAAAATCCACATTATTGGATGGGTTCGAGTCATTATTATTCAGGTTCGACATTGTTGTAGCAGATTTTGGAGGAGGCCATAAGTGACTTCTTGGCCTTGTTTCGTCTAACGTTGCATCCATCCAATCAGATGCAAATGGTGTAGTCGATATCTCTTGTCTACTAAATCCTTCAATATCCTCTGAAACAGAAGACCCATTATGAGCATTGGAATCATTACTTAAAGGAAACACAGAGCACGGGTGATGTTGAATTTTTTCTATAATCATATGTGAAACCCAAACAAGACATCAATTTCTTACTACTTTATGGTTTAAACATTAATACTTTTATGTATTTTTTGTCAGATAATTGGATTGAAAAATGCTTCGTGGGATACAATATAATGGTAATATCTCTAACACCACATTAACGAATTAGTTATTCTCTCATTTCCTAGTTGTTTTGCTGATGAATCCCGAGTTTGGCTACTCATTATAGACCTTAAAGATTCTCAATGGCTTGTTCTATAATAACTCTATTGATAAGTCGATTCTCATTAATCAACCTAAATCTGATCCACCTACGTATAAACCAAATTGAGATTATTAATCAGAATAACTACAGATAATATCAAGTGGGACGAATGAAAATGAAATTCCAATATGAATCCAATGTTTTGTCGACGATTACGTCATATGTATGCATTTATCTACATTAGTTATTTGAATATGAATATTTATTCTGGATATTGATTGTATAATATCAACAACTCTCATCTAATTTTTGTAAGCATTGCACACTTATCATCTTAATACTAACAGTTTGATTTCACCAGAAAACCTAATTTTATAATTTTTAATTTTAAATGATGTATTTACCTTGAACTTGGTAATTTCTTCGGAATATTAGTTTGAATTTATAATTGTAGAATTGTAGAACAGAATATTTTTGATTCATATCTCTGTGTTTTTTACTATGATAGATATTATCAAGCAGATAACTCACTGAACAAAACATAGTATTCAGTAGTATCATTGAGGAAACGTTAAATACTAATTAGAAGAACCTTTCACTCTAATTTTCTGCCAGAAATATTTAATTACGTAATAATTAGACTGGAAAAAACGACTTGTATATTATAAATGTATTGTTCTGCGTGAAGTGATCTGAGCTGACGAGCTATTAAAAACTATTTGGGGAGCTGTGATTTGTAAAGTTGACTTAGCAGAATGCGATTTTAATCTCAATGTGTTCATGGTAAACAGCCCGTCTGTTGGGAACATTAGATCCCAAGAACTCACATGGATAAGGTCCTAATTTCGGATTTCTTATGTTTTCGCACACAAGTTGCTTTGTTGACCCCCAGCTTACATTTCCCACTCGGGAAATCCTTGACTGTCTTTGGATGATGGGTTATTTTAGTACGCTATATTTGTGGCTCTCACCAAGAACGTTTCTATCAAGTATAAATAAGCTTGATTTGTGTGCTTGTCGACCTCATATTTTCTGGATACTTGCAGAATACACTTTCTACGCCTGATCAGGACTTCTTGATATGGTTAGAATAGCCTATCGTGTCACTGCATCATTTGTCTTCGCTCTCATTTACCGAGTAAGATGAACGAACCCGTCACAGTTTCAAGCATATCAACTGACGAGCATATCACCGTCGACAAACTTTACTAATCTATGAACAGTAAGGCAGAAAGCTAATAGTGTACACTACAACTTACAAAAACATATCACTTTTATTCAGTGGTTCTCTATCTAGTATTATTCTATAATGATAGATACATTGAAAATACATCAAACGAAATTGATCGACTATTTCACAAATAACATTGTCTTACCGTAACCTTCTAGAAACATGGCTTTAATATCTTCTTCTGTTAACGGAATATTATTATCTTCAATCCAACTGTATGATAAGTCATTTTGAGCAATTACGTTTTCTTGATGAATTCCCGAGATAATGTTAGTTTTATTATTATTATTACTATTATCCATTATGATAGTAATTAAGACAGTAACTTTTCTTTGCAGTACCAAATTTATAGTTCCTCGTTTCAGTTGATTGTAATTCACTTCAACTTAGTTTATTCAACTATGTTAATAATGCAAATATGTTATTACCGTTTTTGTTTTATTTATAAAAAGTAATAACTAGTCATTAGCACTAACTATTTGACCTGGTCACTATGACTATACAATTCGATTTTTATTAGCATTTAACTTTCCATTTGTATTTTGTTTGAAGTTGAGAAAATAAATCTAATTCACTTTCTAACATTGTGAATTGATTATTTAACTGGTAAAAATGAAAAAAAAAATTGACCAAAAAATAATTGTAAACTATTTTAAGTGATTTTTTCTTTAAAACTTAATTTACGAATTAATCGATTTGTAGAAAATATTTGTAAAATAACTAATTTTGTAAAGTATTCATATATCTATTGAATTTCGGATGATTAATTACTTTACTAATTTTAATAACAACCAAAACCAAAATCAGCATTTTCAATACAAATGTCAAGGCAGTTCTACTGTATGGAGAGGAAACATGGAGAACTACCAAAGCCATCATCCAGAAGATGCAAGTGTTTATTAACAGCTGTCTACGCAAAATACTTCGTATTCGTTGGCCAGACACGATCAGCAACAACGAACTGTGGGAGAGAACAAACCAGATTCCAGTGGATGAGGAAATCAAGAAGAAGCGGTGGAAGTGGATAGGCAACACACTACGAAAAGCACCTAACTGCATCACAAGACAAGCCCTCACATGGAACCCTCCAGGCAAAAGGAAAAGAGGAAGGCCAAAGAATACATTACACCGAGAAATAGAGAAAGATATGAGAGGAATGAACAAACATTGGACAGAACTGGAGAGGGAAGCCCAGGACAGAGTTGGTTGGAGAAAACTGGTGGGCGGCCTAAGCTCCATTGGGAGTAACAGGCGTAAGTAAGTAAGTAATTTTAATAAAACAAATAAAAGTAACTACTACAACATAATTTTCATTACAGTTCGATACGTAATTCCGTTAATCAATAAAATTAATGTAAAATCTATTATTCATTGATATTTTATTCTTGTGATGGATAGATAGTTTTTTTTTGTTTTTTTGTTGAATATCCCATTACAATCAACAATAAACAGAACAAAAAGATTTGAATATGTAGCAAGAATAATTACTAGTATATTGTTTATAATACAGACAATAATGTGGAATATTTATGATTAGAATTGTACATCATATAGATAACTCTAAGTCTACAATGAAACTAAATGATTAAATTATAAAAAAAAGGAAATAAAAATAATACTACCTAAAAATATAAAGATAAACATACATATGTGAGAATATACAGGATTTTATGAAGAAAAAATAGAAAGAAGAAATAATCGATGAAAGAATAGATAAGTTTAGAAAATGTTTTAAAATATATAGAAAAAAAAGACTATCATATCTAAATATTAAACAAATACAGTTATAAATAAAAATACAATTAACATCTAAAAAATTCAGGAAATTGTATATCTAATATGGAAATCTTTTTATATATAGTTTTTTTCCATGATGCATTAACATCACGCTCGTTTAAGATAGCATCAGCGAATTCCCATACAGCAACATGGATAGCTTCGAGAAATTCTTTTGGAGTCTGTAAAAAATAATAATGATAATAATATGATAAAAATGTTATGAAACTATTCTTCGAATTATCAATGAAACAATATATTTCACAGGCAAATTGACAAAAGTACATTTCATACTATGAAAATATGAATGCATCATTTCATCTTACTGATAATTATAGTACTACAGTTAAATAATTCTTTACAAACAAAACAGCTCTTCAAAATTTACAAGATTCTAATGACAGATTTAGATGATTTAACGAATTAAATTACATCATTATTGACTGATTTGATGCAATATCTGAAAAAAAAATTCAAAAGTAAAATTGTTGCGGAACTTACTTCGATTTCGTCACCTTTGTTAAAATGTATCTCCATACTGCGTATCAATTCATGTTCACGTGACAATCGAATATCGTCCGCTTTCTTTAAACCGTTAGCTTTCTGTTGACGAACAAACTTTTCTATCTGTATGTAAAAAAACTCTCTATACACAAAATAATATGGAGGAGGGAAAATAGATTAAAGAGTTTAGATAATGAAATCAATATTTAGTTAATTTTGCAAAATATGGTACATTATACTGATAATTAGGTTTTCAAGTAATCCTATTGAAAATCTCAAACACTGTTGTGTTTGGTAAAATAGAGCTGTCATCATAATCACATAGTTTAAGTGAGATATCAAACTTCTCTAGTTAGTAATGTATTGATTAACTTGAACTACGAGCCTTTTTTAATTGAAACAAATTCATAAGACATTGTGCATTAACAAAGAGATGTTAGTTTATTGAAAATTAATTCACAAGATAAACGAAGTTACTGAAACACGGTAATGTGTTTTCGAGCTGAGTTGCATTAGATTCAAACATTATGGTATAGAAAATTACATTATTCACTAGATTCACCTTTTATTCTTTATTATTCTTTCAAGTATAACTAGAAATGATGAATAAAACAAAAATAGTATAACATTTTACACTAGTACATACATAAATGCGTTCGGTTACTCATCAATATTACACATACCGAATTAATAGTTAACATCTATATAAATAACAAAATAGCATACACAAAGAGACATACGCACATAAGCAAAATATGAACAAGACATTTATACATGCAACTGGAGGAACGACAATTCTCACCCATTTTGTGCAGACCGATTTCACCATGTTCGACTCATCGTTTTCATTCCTCTTTTTCTTCCATCCTCCAGATTTTGTTGGAGAACAGTGAATTCGATGGTATGAACATTGTATAATCGGAGATGTTGGTGCATACATGTATAGATAGATATTTATGATTAAGATAATTTTTGTATAAACGCTTACCGGAAATTACTAAACCATTTTACTAATTGTGCTGTAGATCCACGATTAAAACAAACTTCTGGAAAATATGATCTTAGTAGACTTGATGTTGGATAACGAGAATACATAAACATCATTTTAGCTTTTTTCAAATGAACTGCACTCAATGTTGTTGTCTAAAGAATAAAAATATATGCATACCACTATTTAAGCGAAGCAACAATGATAATCTTTTTGAATTTTTATCAAATTAAATGACATGCATATAAGTGAAATAAGATGAGGTGAATTATGTCAAATTTTTCATGTAGTAGAAATCTTGTTCTTAATATATTTGAAATTCATTAATATTTACCAACGATTAATTTGATAATATATATAATATGTGTTTCACTCATTCGATATTCAGTAGTTTCAGTAAGTTTTGAAAATCTTTTCAGTGCCAACGGGACTTTAATATCAACATACGAAACTATCTAATGAGCTTATTATATATCCTTGAAGGGTTTTATGTGTACATGACTGAAGAATATCAAAGAATAACAACCGAAAAATATGTCAAATCTTTCTTGGTTAAGACTAGTTGTATAATCTATAGTGTATCATACAGAATAACTAACCATTCGTCATTCCTATCATAAACTGAGAAGTTTTAATGAACTTTTAATAATTACTCAATTGAACAGGCTGATCGGTATATATCATTTTTATTAACTTACCCTGGTTTGACTACTAAGTATTGATCTTTTCAAACGTGTTTGAGAACAATTACTTGAATGATTATCTGATGAATCGATTTGTTCTGTTTGATTATTATTCTCATGATCATTTGGATGAATTCTCAAATCTAATGATTCATCTAAATGAGCAATTTTATTTGGAGGTTCTTCTAAATCATTATTTATTGGACGTTTATTACAACTTGGTGATAGTTTATTCAATTTCTTTGTCTGATTTCTATCAACAAATAGCTGACTGTTGAATTGATGAATTCTCAGTCGACGCGTTTTATTATTAAAACGTAATTGTTTTGTTTTTGTTGAATAAGTTGACGAATCTGTTGATATTGTTGTTGTTGTTGTCGGCGTACATTTTAAATTGTTACATCTTAATTCAGATGATACAATCGTAGTGGGCATAAACTCTGTATCGATTGGTTGATTTTCATTGAATTTATTATTACTATTATTATTATTCATATTCTTCGAATCTGTATTCCCATTATTTTTTGTAAATTTCAAATTAAGTGGCGTCATATTACAATCATGCGCATAATCTGATTGCATAGATTTCAATGAATTACAATAATTCAATATTGTCGGTGAATTATGCCAATCTTTAAAATGATGAGTTTGTAAATAAGTCTCTAGTTGATGCATACTATTATCAATAAGTCGAATCATTTCTCGACGTACTTGACCAAGAATTTGATTGCATATTTGATTACGACTATCAATTGATTGATTTGCATCGATTTGATCCGTACAAATGTTATCATTTCTCACAGTTTTAGAAATCTTTTCAAACTGTTTGGAATAATTTAATTGGTCATTAAAATATTGTCTATTATTCTGATAATGACAAGTATTTGTATTAGTTGAAGATAATAATTTCGCATAATTTAAATCTTGTCGACTTAAATTAATACATTCATTATTATTTTGATTAACAATCGATGAATAATTAGAATTTCCAAATTTCAAATTCGATTGTGATAATGAATGATATTTTTCATGAAACTCTTTAAAATAGAGTGGTTGCGGTTTATTATTCTCTTCATTCATTCCTAAAATATTTCTATTTAGTAAATGTCCACCAGTACAAGGATAGTTTGGGATTAGACGAGCTTGATTGAGTAATTCTAGTGCAACAATCTCTAATTTTTCTCTTTGATTCATAGAATTATGAATACATCCAGCTGGCCTATAATCCTTATACTGATTTATTACATCAGATGTAGGAAGATTATTTGAAAAACCAGTTGGTGTTGAACTAGATCCAACTGATGAATATCCTTCATCTGATAATGGAATATAAAGAGGTGTTGTTTTTTCATTGTTTGATATATCTTGATATCCTGTTAAACCTAATGAGATTGGATGAAATGTTGAACAAGGAATAGATTGAGATAATGGTGTAGAATGAATATACTTTCCTTCTAAACCATTTAATCTAGGTTTTGTATATTCAGGAGTTTGAAAATTTCTTTCATCTTCTGAATAACTTTCCATTTTATTCCTTTTTATAATATTCTTGTAAAATACTAAAACGAGAAGTAAAATAAAAACAAGAATTCATTGATAATAATTTTTAAGGTTTATTAGGTTATTCTTCTCAAAGTTTTAAATACATAATTAACTAATGGTATAATGAATTGCCTTGTTTGTAGTTTAAGGATATTTATGATCACTTAATTCGATTTGCTAATCCTTTAAACTATTCATGGTGAAGTTTCACCTTTCAAAAAAGAATTTTTACCAAGGACAGTTAAATCAATTAATTACATATTTCCATACTGAAGTGGGTGCGGAGTACGGTACACGACAGATCGATTGCTCAATATGATAATATTAACACTCAATTAGATAATTAGTTTGACCGGTTTACTAAGTGTGCTTCTATATGCTTCTGGATTCGTTATGCTCTGAAGCCATTCTTATTGAAGTAAATGAATCTAGGTATGAAACTACGCTCAAATGACTGTGAGTCAATTGCTTGAGTTGCAAAGCTACTGTCCCTCCAAAATTAAAAAGTAAGTTTTGATAAAATTTCTAAATGACGATAAAACCGGCTTCCTTAAGTAATATATATTCCTTCATAATTTCTGAGAAATATTCAACTCAGCTTACAGCGAACCTTAAATTACCATCACCTTATAGTCAATCTGACTTATTACCAATGAATGACCAGTGATTTACGATATATTGTGGACATTACTTCATTATAGCCATATATATATATATATATATATATATATATATATATAATATTAGTGAATATAGCACATTTCTTTTCAGTTATTCAGTTGTTCAACCAACAGATGCCTACCCCATCAATCAATCCTTAAACTGGATATATGGTTCAGTCAGTATTTAATTCCTTATTTGTTGCAACAGTTAAAAACATATGGCCAGTAGATAAATTTAGTGAGAGTAGAGAAGATTTTTCTAGTATCAATTAAAGTATTTAAAAGTTAATTTGTATCAAATAAATAAAAAATCCAGTCTACTTGTTAAAATTTCAATAACTAAGAATAACAGTAGAGCTTTAATAATTCCAGCGATAAAAATCAACTAACACTGATGTTTGTGAATAACTTTTTCACATATTTTAGTAAAAATGAATTAACACTCATTAAAATTTCACTATTATCATTTCATATTTCCCTCTCTCTCTCTCTCTCTCTCTAGAAAAAAATATATAAAACAATAATTGAACCTTAAAGTCTGATTATCTGTAAACACACAGTTTCAATCATCATATATACACAAATCTGTCTATCACTGGCTGAAAATATTCCTAATAGAAATGACTGCATATCACTACTACTGTAATGTCCAAATTTCTGCAAATATTATTATAATAACTAAATCAAAATAATTCAGAACCGTTGACAGTCAAAAAATCTATTAATTGTGAACTTGAATATTATGGAATTTTAGAGTTCCAACTAGCCGCATACTAAAATATGATGTGATATTTTATGTTACACGAAGTCACAAATTGTATTTAAATGAAATTAATGAATATTTTAACATAACGTCATAATCAGAAATCTGAAGTTAAAGAAAAGAATATATCTCCACGACTACTGATCAACCTAAAATTTCCCTCATAAAAACTAATCACTAAAAAATATTAATAAAAAAATAACAATGTGAGATTTATCAAAATATCAATAAAAATATATCTAACTTACTTGAATAATTGAATTGAACAAATTCTATAATTAACTGGGTTATATAATATTTAGTGATTTGTTTGTTATTAAATCACTCAATAAATGAAAATATCGTGAATTTCGGTGAAATAATTTTGATAAATTCTTTAGAATAGAAAACGCAGTAGTGAAATTGAGTTCAAGCTTTCGAACACAATGTAATTCTTTTTAAAGGTGAGATATTCAGTAGAATTAAGCCTATTTATACATTTTCATGTTCATCTCTTTCAACTAGTTTCGTCGTCTCACATTTGCATCAACCAATCCCATAAGTGGATTAATCTGACACGAGCATACATCTTACCTTTCTTTTATTCAAATCTTAGTTGCTGTGGTTTATGAAACACTGGTACATTAATAATAATGATGAATATGATTACTATTATTATTACGAAATTAAGGGGAGACAAATACTACACTGACTTTTATATTTCATTCATTATTTGTGCCTAATTTCTTATTCTATTTTCAGTGAAGATGCTGGTTAACTCAGTCAACTTTTCTTTATGCATGATATTTTATTTTGGAAAATTCTCTTCCTAATTCTCAATGTGTACAAAACTTTCATTTTATCAATGAATAGATTAGCTACATGTTGTCATTCTTCCCCTCACCCTGAATATTTATTTTTCTATTTTTAATCTTTTAACACTATTTATCTATATGCAAAACCAACAGATAGATTGTCTATCTCGCCCTCCCTCTCTCCTTTCTCCCTTTGTACACATAAATAAAGGCTTAAATTCTGTAACCACGTGCATCTGACCTGCAAAATATAAATAAACTTCATATGATCAAGATTATACTGAAGAATCAGAAAAATGAGATGTTTTAAACAAATTTGACAAAGGCCAACTCCCTTTATTCTTACTCTCTCTCTCCATAAATATATATATAATATATATATATATATATATATATATATATATATATATATAAATATATATATATATACAATCCGTCCATACCCACTTCTTTTATTTTATTAAATCTTTTAGACATTAAATTAAACAATGTTATGATGAAAAGGGTGCCCTGGTATCATCTTCACAACGAAAAGGGGAATTATGAAGAGAAACGAGAGAAATTAGCAAATAAACTATGTATATATGCTGGTGCCACGTTCTCTATTTTCTCCATAAAAATAAAGTCAAACATGACAGTAAAGATAGTGATAATATGAACAATATGAAGATCCGCTATTATAATAATAATAATAATAACAGTTTCGATAAAACATAAATTAACCCAAGGCAAAATTATAAGAAGTAATGCAGAAAATGAATTATTAGAAAGTTAGAAGGTATTTCTTTACTTGGCATTTTTACTGTCGATCCAAATAGACAATAGGCTTCCAAGTCCAATCGCTTTTAATTGTATCTGCAAATTTAATCAGTTCCCAGAACATAGATACTTTTCAAGTTTATCAACAATCTTCGAGTATTATCAAGTTGACTAGGTGTTTAACTTAACAAATCGAGAAAAATGGTAGTATTGTTTCATTCAGGGCATAGGGAGCACATGGTCCAAAGAAGATCAGCATCCATTATTGTAAACTCGGTATAATTCAAGTTCCTAAAGTGTGAATATCTTTATTTACTAATCAAAGAAAAAATAAAAACAAACATTTTTCTGTCTCTTCACCTAACATGATCATCATTTACCAGTGAGTTACAGTGATAATCATTCTGTTTAACATTACCAATCAAATACGAAAACCCTCACAAATCAAATTTATACTTATTGCATAATCCAGTGGCTAACTGGATTCAAGAGCTCACTTGGAGAGAAAGGTAGTGGGTTCGAATCGTCGTGAGAACATCAATACTGGGATATAAGTACACTAGGACGAAAAGAAAGTCCCAAGTTTTGTTTATAGTCAAGGTTGAACTTTGATCAAAATTCATTACTTAATGGCGATATTGATGCAATCCACTCAGGATGCTCTCATCTGAATGAAGAATGATCAGTTACATTCTTTAACATTAGTAACTAGAAAACACAATTCCGCATAAATCAAGTAATCATGCTTCTTATAAATAAATCGTTCATGAAAATAATTAAAATTGAACCTTGGAGATAAAATATCAATAAAGTAAGTCAATAACAACTTATTGACTGTTCAAACTAGAAGTCTTAAGGTGAACTTATTTAGAGTATATGGCTTTTATAGATACAAAGTTACACAATAGATTAAAGCACATATATCGAACAACTTGTATCTAGTAAAAGTCCCATGACCACAAACCTGTTTTAGAAATTGTTAAATTAACGATAAAACTCAATATAAAAAATTCAGTACATACAACATTTTTAGTTTACTTCCGTAAAACAAAAATGCTAAATACACTGAAAAGAGGAAATTCAGAGCAAATTTAATATCTTAGGCAATTCGTTGAAAGACGTTTGGTCGATAAAATTAACATTAGCTAGTTTATCCGGCGATGTATAAACTAACACATATTAGATGATAGTGACCGATGGTTAGAGACTCTGAATGAGATGGCTCAAAACCATTTGTCATGGCACAGGTGCATTCATTCTTTGTGTTCTCTCAAATCCTAATCTTCTGAATTCCTCATCACCTTGCTTTTAAATTCATTTCACTAGATTCTACTTCTTGAATAATATCCTTGAACACTAATCTCTTTGATTACTGCTAATACATCTACTACCTCTGCTACTATGTGATCTGAAGTGACGATTGCCTCTCCGAGATAATGTGGTATGGCAACCTGAACTGATCAACGTACATACGAACTTATACGTTGTAACTGACTAATTGACTGAAACAGATCAACATAAATCGAACTGAATAGCTTGTGAAAATCGTTTTCTTCACTGCTTAACATGAGCTAGGTGAACATTGAAGACCAGAGAAAACTTGTCTGTTGTCTTAGCTTAGTCTAAGAACCCTCATTAGTTTGCAATCTCAAACTAATTAGGGGTTAAACCTAGGCTCTTCATGTATCTCAATGAGGATATTGATTTCAAACGATTGAGGAAGGTCACATTATGCTAGAAAAATGAACAGCTGGATTCCAACTGAATGATTTAAAGTCAGTTTGCTTAATCAGTCCTGGTTTTGTTCCCTTCAAATACTTTACGTTTACAATAATGGGGAGTTTCAAACTAACCCAAAACAATTGTTCAGTTCACTTTGGTTTTCAATAATCCTCTAGCTTATGTCAAACAATGATGAAAATTATCTTCACATCTGAATTGTCAGTTTATATCTATTCCATTCACCATGGTAATAAGTCGATGAGTTTTTTTCTAACCACTATAACT